GATATGAAGGAGCAAGGTTATGGATGGCTTTGAAAGTATAGAGAAGGATTTTGAATTGAATTCTGAATTGAACTGGGAGCCAATGGAGTTGGTGAAGAACAGGGGAAATATGATGGAAGGAGGGGGTTCTGGTGATGACACGAGCTGCTGAGTTCTGAAGAAGTTGAAGTTTATGGAGAGATTTATGAGGGAGGCCAAAAAGAAGAGAATTGCAATAATCAATACGGGAGGTGATGAGGCTGTGGATAAGGACAGAGGCAGTATGAGTGGTGAGGGAGGAACGGAGACGGTTAATGTTGCGAAGGTGGAAGTATGCAGACCTGGTAATTTATTTTATGTGAGACTGAAAGGAGAGGGAGGAGTCGAGGATGACACCCAGACTCTTGACCTGAGGGGAGGGGGAGACTAAGGAGTTGTCAATGGGTAGTGAGAAACTTTTGATTTTTGATAGGGTGGATTTAGTGGCAACGAGGAGGAGTTCTGTTTTATCACTGTTTAGTTTAAGGAAGTTTGAGGTGAACCAGTCTTTAATTTCAAGTAGGCAGTTAGTAAGGGACAAGGGGGGGAGAGAGGAAGTGGGTTTACTGGATAAATAAAGCTGGGTGTCATCCGCATAACAGTGAAAGTGAATGTTGAATTTCTGGAAAATACTGCCAAGGGGAATAAGGTAGGTGATGAAGAGGAGGGGACCAAGAACTGAGCCTTGAGGAACACCAGAAGTGACAGGGGAAGGGTGCGAAGTGAAAGATTTGAGCTGAATAAACTGAGTGCGGTCGGAGAGATATGAGCGGAACCATTCAAGAGGGATGTGAGAGATGCCAAGAGAGGATAATCTATTGAGGAGAATGGGATGAGAAATGGTATCAAAGGCTGCACTGAGATCGAGAAGGATGAGGATGGAGAGGAGTCCGGAGTCAGCAGCTATAAGGAGATCGTTTGTGATTTTTATTAGGGCAGTTTCAGTGCTATGAGAGGGGCGAAAACCAGACTGGAAAGGTTCGTAAAGACTGTTGAGGGTAAGAAAGGTGTGGAGTTGAGCAGACACAGTTTTTTCAAGTATTTTAGAGATAAAGGGAAGATTAGAAATGGGACGAAGATTATTAAAGTTAGTGGGATCAGAACCAGGTTTTTTCAGAATCGGGGAGACAGATGCAGTTTTGAAATGTGAAGGAACAATACCAGAAGAGAGTGAAGAATGAATAATGGAAGTAATGAAGGGGAGGAGGGAGGTAAGACAGGTTTTGACCAGAGCCGTGGGGAGGGGGTCAAGAGAACAGGTAGAGGACTTGGATTTTTGAATGAGGTCAGAAATTTCAGAAGAAGTGGGCAGTAGGAAGGAGGAAAATGGCTACGGGGGAGGGGCGGAGGGGAAGTGGGAGGCAAGGCGGTCATATGTAATTGCTGGTGAATGGAGCAGATTTTTTCATTAAAGAAGGTTGACAAAGAATTACAGGTCTGAGTAGAATACATGTAAGAAGGCAGGGTGTCAGGGGGGTCAAAGATCCTATGCATTATGGAAAAGAGAGACTTGGAATTTCCATCATTGGAACAGATAAGGTCAGAATAGTAATTTGATTTAGTAATGGCTATTGAATTTGAATATTGAAGTATATGAGTTTTATGCATTTCTTTGTGTATGGAGAGACCAGTTTTTTTGTGGAGGCGTTCCAGTTGCCGACCTTTGGCTTTCATGAGGCGGAGCTCAGGAGTAAACCAAGGGGCAGAGCGGGAAAAGGATACAGACCGGGTTTTGAGAGGGGCAAGGGAATTGAGAATATTGGAAAGCCCAGAGTTGTAGTGGGTGACAAGGTGGTCCGGAGAGGAAAGAGCAGGGATTGGGATATTGTCAATGTGGGAGGATAAAATGTCTGTGTTTATGTTCTTAATATTGCGGAAGGAAATCTGGCGGACAGGCTTGATTATGGAGAGAGACAGGGAAACGTTGAAGGATAAAAGAAAGTGATCTGAAATATGGACATCATCAGCAGAACAGTTAGATGGGATTAAACCAGAGCAGCAAATCAAGTCCAGTGAATGTCCTTTTATATGGGTGGGAAAATCAACATACTGATGGAATCCAGAACTGTCCAGGCAGGAGGAAAAGTCTCTGGTGAGTGAAAGGTTTACATTGTCCATATGGATATTGAAATCACAGAGGAGAATGACATTAGGAGAGAGAGTAGTCAGGTGGGTAAGTAGTATGGAAAATTCGTTTAAAAAGTCACTATGTGGTTTGGGGGGACGGTAGACTATGGAAATAAATATTGGAGTAGGGCCAGGCAGTTCAAATGCAAAGCATTCCATAGAGCGGAAAACAGGAATAGAAACAGACAACAACTTCCACTTCTCGCGATGAAGTAACGCGAGACCTCCCCCGCGACCGGAAACACGAGGAAGAGAGTGGTAAACAAGCCCAGGTGGAGAGGAGGCGTTGAGCTGGGAGAAGTCTTTGGGTTGTTGCCATGTCTCCGTGAGGCAGAGGAAGTCCAGCTTACGGTCATTGATGAGATCCTGGATGAGCTGACCCTTGTTTGTGAGAGAGCGGATATTCAGGAGTCCAAAGTTGACAGGAGAGTTGATATGACCGGAGGCGGGGCTTGCTGCCTTAGCCAGGCTAGCAAGCGAACTGAAGTCAGCGGTCCGACCGGGATATCGGCGAGAGCGGCGTGAAGTGGACCAGAATGATGGTATTGGATTGGAGTCATCGATGTGGAAATTCCGACGGGATCCGCGGTGGATGTATCTCCGGCGGGGAAGGAGCATGATCTCCGGGTGTAGCTGGAGAACTGGCGGTGGAGGCGCAGACAGAAGCCCACGGAGCAGGAGGAGATCAGCAGCCGAATACTGGAACAGACCAGCCCCAGGTCGGTGTAGAATGGAGAGGACAGTCCAGAGGAGGATACACCAGATGTAGAACTTGGAGGTTGACATTGTTAACGGCAGCGGGTGGCTAACCAACAGCAGCAACGGCGTCGAGTCAGGAGAACAGTTGGAGAGTGAGGTTAGTTAAACACACTCAGACACAAAAACAACGGGATGGCAGCGGGAGTTAGGATGATCAAAGCGAAGGCAAGTGTCTTTGCTCTCACTTGAATGTGAGTACACGGCCCAAAGTTCCGTAAAAACGTTGAAAAATACTTAAAAACAGGTAGCGGAGAGCAGCGGCTGCAAAAACGCGCCAGCGTCCACTCAGCGCATGCGCACATCCAGATGATGATTAAAATGGAAAGGAAGTGTAACCAAATGGCGCCAGATTAAAGTATTGTTCTTATCAGAAATGAAATGTTGTCTTTTTAACTATTAATCAAGAATGTTTCTATGCAGGGAAGCTATTAAGTTTGGGGTTTCATTGGCGCAAAGCTTCTAATTTTTCCACATTTCAACAGCTGGTCTTTTTATTTATTCAGTCAAAACTCGTTGTTTGAGATTTTAAGTTATAAGTGAAAATAAAAAAGTATAAGAAAACGGCACCCTTCAAAAATCATTTGTGTTTTTATTATGTGAAATAAAATAAAATAAAGTTATTATGATGGCACTATGAAAAGTGTGCTCTAAGGTGGTGATTGGTTTAAAACTCCTCTTTGGGGAGACTATCCTTCTGCTTACCCTGCTCCACATCATTCACTATGCATTGCTGCTGCTGCCTGAATGATGGTTTCCACTTTCCACCCCTTTCTACAGCAGCATCTATCAATAGGTTGAAGGATTTTTTCCTTATTCCCTGGCATGGTGGAAGATATTTTTAGAGACAACAATCACCCCACGACAAGCTAATTGGCATATATAAAACTTTGAAGGAATAATGGGAAATCCTATAGGCCTACTCTTTGATAACAATGTTTAATCAAATAATTATGTATGAGTTTTATGATAGCGAATACTGATCTGTTTGTTAACACAGAAGTACAATTTTACAATGTTTTCAAGGATACTACAATTCTTTTAACTTAAATAAAATTGAATGTTCACTGAGTAAAAACTGGAATTCTTACTTCTCTTATAATCTGGTATCCCCAAAGGTAATTTCATCCTTGGAATGAACCTGACAACACCCAGAGAAAGCTTTAAATGAAATAAAAATGTAAATCCATATCTAAATTCAATTCTCCAACACCAAAACATGACCACCCCCCACCCAAAAAAACCCCTGAAAACAAAAAACAGTGACTACACTGCATTTGCTGGGAGACCTGGCTGCAAACAGAAGCAGCATTCAAAAGGGGTCAATAAATGTAACTTCTGATAGGAAATCAAAATGTACAAATGTTTCACATATTCTGTTAAATTTAAGTGATGTTATGGTATTTAAACCTGCTGTATTGCTGCTTTTATATGCATTCACATGTCTTTTAACATCATCATGAATTTGTCCTGATTTTTATTGTCCATTTGCAGCATCACAAAAAATACGTTTTTAAGGAAAAATAAGCATACAGAGATTGTAGGGTTGTAATTCTGAACTGTTTAATTTAGCTTTTAATGGACCTTATAAAGTTTTATATAGACTTTATTACTCACTAGGCTTTAAAGAAATGCTTTAATGCAGAGATCTTCAACAGGAGGTCCACAAACCCTTAGGGGTCCAGAGAGGTACTGCATAGGGGCCGCGAAAGTTTTGATTACTTTTTTTTTAATTGCCCTTGCTATTTTTTCCATTAGTTGAAATGTCTTTAAATTCACATTAACATGCATTCAACACACTATAGTTAATGGATTAATGAGGCAGAAAATGTCTTTCAGTCATCAATGCACACGTTCAGCGACACACAGGAGCTCTCTCAAGCTGGGCACCATTTCATTCACAACACCTGTCCCATCAACCAGGAATCAGAATCAGAAATACTTTAATAATCCCAGGGTGAAATTACTTTCATTACATCACTCTATATGTAATAGAGTGACTATAGGACAATTTTTATATAACATAATTTCTTACAATTCACATAATTAGGGGGTCCCCGCTCCATTTCGCCATCAGTTTGGGGGTCATTGGCCTGGAAAATGTTGAAAACCACTGCTTTATTGCTTTAACTCAAATCTTTGCTGAGAAGTAATAACACCTTTATCATCACTTTAAGCCATAGGTGGACTGATCCTTAGTGATTTATGAGCTGCTGATGACCTGCTTGACCCAGTCAGTGAGTCTGGTGATGCGGGTGTAGACACCGTAGTAGTCTGGTCGGCCACAGCCTCTGCCCCAGCTCACCACTCCGGCCAGGAACCAGCGCCCTGAAGGCTCCTGGCAAACCAGGGGCCCACCAGAGTCACCCTGGACGTGACAAGCACATAGTTAAGGAAGGAATAATGCAGTTAAATATTTTATACTATATAAAAAAAAAAAAATGAAGTCTAAATCTATAGTTATTGTGTGTATTTTAGCTCATTGTAAAGCTACTATATCATGATTTTTCTTTATTTAATCTGGAGTACTGACAAAGTATGCTGATGAATTCTGTTAGTTAATTTTAGGGAAAAATAAAACAAATGTTGAATGCAATATGTGCCAGATGAAGGCCAAAAGGGTTTAAGTGGAAATAAAATAAGTTCTCCCCTTGAGGCCGTAAGGGTAATGTATATGTCATGAAAACAGAGGAAATATATTTACACAGATCAGTCTTTCAATCTCTAGATCAATAGTTTTATTGTGTAGTAATAAAAGTATTAGAAAAAAAATTTAAAATGTCATAAAGCTACTTTTATAAACTTCAAATCCCATAGTATTATAGTATTGGAAATTTAAAATTAATATATGTTATAAAAGATCTTTAAAAACACAAAGAAGTGATATAAATAAGTTGAGTAAGTCTTTTATGTTAACCTGGATTATTAAGATGCAATAGGTGTTAAGGTAGTGATAAAAAGTTACACTTTTATTTGCGAATCATAATAATAACATATTCAAAATAAAATGCACAAAGAATAAAATATTTGCCCAAGAGAAAGGACCTCTTTCCTTTGTCTCCCACGGCGCTCCTCCATGAGCCCAGTATGTAATTAACCAGAGAAAATAGCTATGCTACAGGTGATACTTTACTGAGTTGATAACTCCAAAAGGCTGTGCAATAGTAATTTTGAAAAAATACTTTCAATTAGGACCGTCAGAGTTAACATGTAAATGCAGGCATGTGATGCCCAACTTCTATTAAGTGGGGTACAAAAATGTTGAGCAATTTAAACTTCTCTGTAACTTTATTTCTGACTAACCTTCTATGGCATTTTGTTGCACTGAGCTTTAGTTTAGAGGTATTAAATAAAAAGGAGTAGGGTCCAAAATTATACAACCCTTCAAATTTTAAACTTTCCATTACTTTCCTATTAGTAGTTGTCTGATTTTCAACCTTGGAGTATTTCATTTAGATGCACTGAGTGCTTTTAGGCATTTCATTAGAATTAGTGCTAATTGATAGTTTCTACATATCACCTAAAAAAAAAATTATCTATCTATCTATCTATCTATCTATCTATCTATCTATCTATCTATCTATCTATCTATCTATCTATCTATCTATCTATCTATCTATCTATCTATCTATCTATCTATCTATCTATCTATCTATCTATCTAGGCTATGGGCAATATTATGAGGCTAAACTTTATTGATAAAATATGCATTGTCGAACTTAATACATTTAGTCATTAAATTGCATTAAATAATCCCTTAAAAGATTTTATGAGTATAATGCGCATTAATTGGCTGTTTATTTCGCTCTTGGACGAGATCTCCCCTCCGCTCTGGAGGAGCAGGACGCTGCCTCTATGAGAAATCCCTGTTCATGTTTGGGCCTATTGAGGTAAGCGGGGGAAAATTAGAGCCCTGATTGGATAACAAGCCAAAATACATCCCACAAAGTGAAGCTGAACCTCTTATGGGGTCTTTGGAGCAGGGGCAGGTCGTGAAGCTGGCTGGTCGATGCTGATCATTCAGCCAGAACAGTGGTCTAACTCCTGCTGTGGTTTCTGGAGTTTATTATTTCAGAGTGTTTCACAAGAGCTATTTTCAGCTGTTGCAGTAAGTGTTAAATGTGTATCAATAATCAAGACGTTTGGATTTAATTAACACCAACATAAATAAAACAGCATTGTAAAGTTGAACTCTCTCTGACTACTGTGTAGTTCACTTGTTTACAACTGGTAATAGAGGATTCTGAATAAAGGAAATCAGTGCATATTAATTAAATAAACCACTAGTTTTATATATATGTGTCTGTACCTGACAGGCATCTTTCCCACCACTACGATAACCAGCACAAAGCATCCTGGGAGTGACTATGTAGCCATAAGAGCGAATGCAGGCTTCCTCGCTGACCAGACGAACGTCCACTTTTTGCAGCACATTACTTGCACTGCCTGCAGGAGATCAAAGGGTGAACAATAAGCACTATGGATTTGGTTTCAACCTATTTACAGTTTCTTTATTAGCATAAGAGACACTGCAGAACATAATTGAAGCGATGTTCTTAGTTTCTGGCTCTAGAAACAATGCTGAAACTGACTGCTTCAGTAGCTAATTCATCCACCGGAGATTTTATGCTGTTTAGTCATCTACCAGAGCTTAATGTTGGTCTGATGAAAGGTTTGTCCTACCCTTTACTGTCAGCTGTGAGATGCCTTCATTTTGTCCTGTTGATGTACAGTATTACAGCTTTTATTGTAGTGTGGGGGACTAAATGTGGAGACATTCTCATGATATTACTTTAATTGATATTGCTATAGTGTTAAATATAAATATGCAAAAAAAAGTAGAAACAATAGGGTGTCCTCTTGTAATGATAGTATTATGGATTCAATTCTATTGATTGATCATGGCTTTCTTCTTATGAACTCTAACCTCTAGCCAGCTCACCTCCCTCTTGCTGTGTTCCCCAGCCGGTAACCCAGCAAAGCAGGCCTGGCTCCAGCTGGTGGGTGGGCGGTGGCAGGCAGGCAGGGCGAGCATATCCAGTTAGCAGTGCATACGCAGGCCGGTCCAGCTTCAGTAAGGCCAGGTCGTAGTCATGAGACTCATCATCGTAGTAATGGTGAAGATGTATTTGTTTAACTCGAGCCACCTCTTCTGTGGGGCTGCTGCGGTTTAGCAGCAGTTTACCCAAATACACAGTCCAAACTGAAGGGGAATACAGACTGTGGAAAGAAGACATGAAAGATGGATAAATCACAGAGGGACTAATGAGGCTTTCTCTAGTTTTCATCACAATGACTTGTTATATGCATGCAAATATTTTAGAAAAATGGCAGGAGTCATGCTGAATAGAGAGGAAGTTTAAAAGAAAAATGAAAGATCATCCTGATTTAAAGAACAGAGAAATCAAAGAGCAGGTTTCAAAGTGAAGGCAGGAAGTGTATAATGCTGACATTTAAACAACTAAGTGCCTGAGGTTGTCTATTTTCTGTTAGCACGCTCTCAAAGTGCAGCCATCACCTCATTTCCTTTCTCCCCACTTCCTGTGCTCACCGATCATCATAGAAGCAGTGGGCTGCAGACACCACCCACTGATTGGAGATCAGCGCTCCTCCACAAATGTGGGTTCCCCGCACCTGTAGACTGGCCTGCCAAGGCCACTCCCCCTCTGAGGCGTCACTGCCTCCAACGATGCGGCTGGAGAACTGTCTGAGGCCACAGTCTGAACATATGCACAGATAAAGTTAACGGCGCTTCTGCAAATAGACTCACCTTGTAAAGATATTTTTACCTTAATTAACTTTTTCAGATTTTGTTTTGTTTAAATATTGATTTCATTAAAGCTTTTTTTGGAATTGATTTCTAAACAAAGTACTGTAGCACATAATTGTGAAGTGTAAGAAATTAATACTGACTTTTGTTATGTTTGTTTGCAAATTTTCTGTGTAAATATTCCTTGTTAAATAAACTCACTTACCAGATTGCTGTATAAGGTTTTATGCCATGTATAAATGGGGTGATGCACAGTGTTAGTTCATCTTTGACCTATATTTGGTGGAAAATCTGAATAATAATCTCAAAAGTAAACTTTGTACCACATGTTTGATTTGTTCCCTACAGTGATCATGGAAAGATAAGCAAAAAATTAAGGAATTGTTTTGCTTTTGCATCTGTTTCTTCCCCCCCGCCACTGTGCTGTAAACAAAAGATTTGCAGAGGATGTAAAAAATTGTTTTCCGTACAGATCATCCCAATTGAGCTGTGGCTCTCAGCACAACCAGTTACCATGGTGGTTTGCTGCTTCTCTGACGAATACTCTCTTTGCTCAGCTTGTCAAAAAGATTATAAATTAAATCTTGTTTAATAACCCTTAATTGTCAATAAATACATAAATGGAACAGGAGTCTATAAGATGTAAGAAGTTGTTTTTGGTCAATCCTTCCATTTCCTCATAAAACTGATTACCGTTTGGTTCAAACCCAACAAAATGCAAACAAGTTAAGAAGCATTAAAGCTTCATAAAGGTAGTGTATCTCATAAAAGCTGCAGCTAAATCCTTTAAAAACTGAACAAGTGTGTCAGAATTTGAATTAAAATGGGATATGATTCAAAAACAAACAGCAGAGTAAAAAGGGGGAAGATGTTGTTATGTTATTGCAACTTGTTCTTATACAGGAGGGCTTTTGGGGGATCTATTTCATCTTTTATGTTCAAGTTTTGATTTATAATCAGGCTGCAAACCTTATTGGAGAAGAAATTCATTACTAAGCTTTAGTGTCTTTGTGAACAGAAGTGGAACTTAAATCTGCTAAAAAATTCAAAAGAAGTAAAGTTAGGAGAGGAGCGTGGTTGTTTGGACAACCAGCACAAGCAAAGAAAACTGGATACCTACTGTATAACATAAAACCCCTATTTACTAAAACTAGGGAAACATTGTGAGATCTCACCACATTGATTTTCATCTGAAGCATCGGGGCAGTCGGTGACAGAGTCACACTCTGGGTTTGGCTTCTTCAGACATGTTCCATCAGCACAGACATATGTCATATCCGTACACTCCACACCTGGACAAACAGAAAGAGCCACATGCCAACAACGTAATGCTCTCAATGGGTGATTGTGACTGTTGTTATTCAGGAAAATTAGTGGGAGTTTCTCACTTAATGTTCCACAACTGATTCTGCCCTTTGTGGACTTTTATTTAAGTTTCATTTGAGGTTTTAGTTATACTTTGATTAATGTAATTCTGTGTTCTCTTGGTCATTGGTTTCTTCCCCATTTAGTCTCATTCTTGTTGTTTTTAAGCAATGTTGTATTTTTTGAGTTACACCCGGTTGCCCCTTTATGCCTATTACCCTTCTAGTTACTTCTATCCACACCTGCTCCCTATCAGCCGATTAGCCCAGTCTTTGTTCTGTCCCCCATATAAACACCTCCCGTTCAGCTCCTCATTGCTGGATTCTCTTCATTACTTTATTACTTATGTTAGGTTCCCTGAATATCTCCTAGTTTTTGATTCCTGAGTTTCTTGCCTGTTTAAAATCCGCTACAAATCATCTCTGCCTTTCCGTCTCTGCATCTTGGTCCTCAACAAACATCCACCAAACCTGCCAATAAGCTGTTTACTGTGAAATACTTAAGTGTGAAGATGAAAGTAGATTGTGCCTCTTTCTTTATGCTATGACACCTTTTAATGTGTGATGTACACTATATTGCCAAAAGTATTTGCTCACCTGCCTTGACTCACATATGAGCTTAAGTGACATCCCGTTCCTAATCCATAGGGTTCAATATGACGTCGGTCCACCCTTTGCAGCTAGAACAGCTTCAACTCTTCTGGGAAGGCTGTCCACAAGGTTTAGGAGTGTGTTTATGGGAATTTTTGACCATTCTTCCAGAAGCGCATTTGTGAGGTTGCACACTGATGTTGGACGAGAAGGCCTGGCTCTCAGTCTCCGCTCTAATTCATCCCAAAGGTGTTCTATCGGGTTGAGGTCAGGACTCTGTGCAGGCCAGTCAAGTTCATCCACACCAGACTCTGTCATCCATGTCTTTATGGACCTTGCTTTGTGCACTGGTGCACAGTCATGTTGGAAGAGGAAGGGGCCAGCTCCAAACTGTTCCCACAAAGTTGGGAGCATGGAATTGTCCAAAATGTCTTGGTATGCTGAAGCATTCAGAGTTCCTTTCACTGGAACTAAGGGGCCAAGCCCAGCTCCTGAAAAACAACCCCACACCATAATCCCCCCTCCACCAAACTTTACACTTGGCACAATGCAGTCAGACAAGTACCGTTCTCCTGGCAACCGCCAAACCCAGACCCGTCCATCAGATTGCCAGATGGAGAAGCGCGATTCGTCACTCCAGAGAACGCGTCTCCACTGCTCTAGAGTCCAGTGGCGGCGTGCTTTACACCACCGCATCCGACGCTTTGCATTGCACTTGGTGATGTATGGCTTGGATGCAGCTGCTCGACCATGGAAACCCATTCCATGAAGCTCTCTGCGCACTGTTCTTGAGCTAATCTGAAGGCCACATGAAGTTTGGAGGTCTGTAGTGATTGACTCTGCAGAAAGTTGGCGACCTCTTCGCACTATGCGCGTCAGCATCCGCTGACCCCGCTCCGTCAGTTTACGTGGCCTACCACTTCGTGGCTGAGTTGCTGTCGTTCCCAAACACTTCCATTTTCTTATAATACAGCTGACAGTTGACTGTGGAATATTTAGGAGCGAGGAAATTTCACGACTGGATTTGTTGCACAGGTGGCATCCTATCACAGTTCCACGCTGGAATTCACTGAGCTCCTGAGAGCGACCCATTCTTTCACAAATGTTTGTAAAAACAGTCTGCATGCCTAGGTGCTTGAATTTATACACCTGTGGCCATGGAAGTGATTGGAACACCTGATTCCAATAATTTGGATGGGTGAGCAAATACTTTTGGCAATATAGTGTATGTGTGAGTCTTGAAGGCCAGAGTGTTACCATCAGTACAGTTCATCTCATCCGAGGCTTCAGGGCAGTCTGGGTGTTGGTCACACACTTTATAGTAGTCGACACATTGACTGTCCTCAGGGCAGGTGTACTGTGCCACACACACTGAAACATACATGATAAATATAAGTTTGTGCATTTCTTGGTTCATTTGGTTGCATTCAGTGAACTACCGGTAATATAATCCTTACAGCCTTCAAAATCTATAAAAAATTCTATTTTCACAAATATTTTAATGAACTGATTTTTGGCCAACAGATTGCATTAAAAATGATGCCTTTACTATCAAACCTGATAATCTTACACATATTTTTAAGATAAACTGTTAAGTCTCAGCTTTTTAAATAATTATAGGTCATCCTATAGATTTAAAAAGGATTTATCATCAGATCTAATCACATTCTGTTCTGTTTTTAAGTAATCTTGCATTAGTAGAAGCACATGGACAATGAGGGTTTTTATTATTTTTGTTTATTGTTTTTATATTGCTTAAATGCTGGTGAAGATTCCCAGTCATCCACATCACAGTCATTCCAAAAAAGTAAAAAAAAAATAGATAAATAAACCACTGGACTTTTTTTTTCCAAGTTTCAAGACATTTTGCTTCCCATCCTGATAGATTTCTCAATTCAAAATGTCTCAACTAGCGTTGAGTTCCAAGATTTTAGAGAGTGGTCCAAACAAAAGCCTTGTTATGGCTCAGAAAACATGCAAATTTAACCGAAAAAATAGGTCCACCCCTTAGTAATGGGTGTCGTTGAGGTCTTTGTTGGCCTGCAGAACCCAATACTGGCCTATGCCTATAAAGAGAGTCATTATACTGTTATATTGCATTATTTGGCTTAAACCAACCCACCATCAAATGTAATAAAGAAAAATGAGGAGTTTAGGAATAGACTATCACAGATGATTCAATGCAGTACCTTTTAGAGACAATAATATACAAACTTCCATTAATTATAGTCCTTTTCTAAAAATAATCAAAGTGCAGAGACTAAGTGCTTGGGTACAAAATGGTTTAAGAGTTGAAGTTTAAAATTTTGTTAAGCTTTACTAAAAACATGGTGGCTTCCTGGGGCCTTAGACAATCTACAAGAAATAGAAACAGAATATAGTTTCCTCTGTGTTGGTTTTATGTCTAACAGCCTATAAGGATTTGCCCTTTAGCTGTTAGAGGGCCTTCAGAACAGCTGATGATGGATCTACTTAAAAATCTAAACTTCATACCACAGTTTCTCTCATCCAGTCCGTTGGGACAGTCCTTGATTCCATCACACTGGGGGACACAGAGACCACTGATAGAACACAGAAACCGCCCTGGACAAGCTTCACAAGCACAGAATCATTATTTAATAATTTTCTTTTCATTATCTGCATTTCTTGGGTGTTTTTCCCGGTCCACAACTTACGGTCAGAAGTGTTGAAGGTGCTATAGTGAAGTTGAAGGCCCGGTCCGGTCAGTGACACTTCAGATGTCATAATGATGGTGGTTGAGTTTGCCAACACAGAGAGGCGTTCACAGTAAGGCTGAAGAGCTCTAGTACCACACAATCTGAGGAATAACAGATAACAGAAATTCAGTGGATACATTAGACTTAAAAAAATGAATAAATAAATCCTGTCTTCTGACTATTGGGTCAAGGTTTTCCTTTAATTAAGATAAGAATATTAAAGCTATACAAAAACAAAACAAAACAAACAAAAAAAGAACAGGCAAGAAAACACTAGGATACTTTTATTAGACAACAGTGCCACCTGGTGGGAAGATCCTTCAATGACACACTGATTAGTATTTCCATTTTTGCTTTAAAGCAACTTTTAAGCTGTAGTTCTAAAACAGGTTTTCAAAGAGAATGTGGTACATTTAGGATACTTTAAAAGATGTTTGTAAATAAACAGAGATGCACAGTGTAAAAAAAAAAAAAGAAATATGTCAGCTGATTAATTTCTTATAAAGCTCCTCTAGATATATAGCAGCCACCTGCATGTGGTGTCTAAATGGAGGAAGAATAAAGGAGAAGTGGACCTAGGCCTAAAACCTACCACTTCACCTCAGTCATGCAGCACCTGGGCTTTACAGAAAAATATGTTTACAAGACCGTTTTATAAAGGATTCTTGTGGGTTGGAAATATTGCAGAATCATCTAGTTTAACCATATTTTCCCTCACTGTTTAGGACAGAATTTTATATAATTTTTCCTGTATTAATTCAGTTAATAATATAATAGTTTTTTTTTTTTAATGAAAGGTGTAGGTGATTATCTGATTTCCACCTGTATTTCAGTTAAACATTGTAGAATGAGAAGGACTCAGTACACCAGACCTCACCTTCGGTTCTGGATTATCCATTGACCCTGTGTGCAGGCCTGATTGTAACTTGCTCTTCTTAGCTCATAGCCTTCAAACTCCAGAGCCAAGCCCGTTGATGCACCCGGCATCTGTCATCAAACATAACATTTTATAATCTGTCTGTTTAACTGTTTAATAAAATATGGACAAAAAGGGACACTGACAATGAACGTCCAGGAGCAGTTTGTGTTAGGCGGGTAGAAGCTGGGAAAGAAAGGTGTCTGTAGAGTCCCCTGGGTCCCATGTACTTCTTTCAAGTCAATCGACGAGTTGCAGTCTGGGAAACACCAGGCAGAGCAAGACATTAGTGTTAGATGAAACCACATTATCAATATGTTTATTCTAATGGATGTATCTTAGAAATTGTGCTTAAGCTGCTATATATATAGTCAATCTTTATTACTCTAGGATTTGCAAACAAAATGTTCTGCACAGGAAATTTAGCTTAAAGGGGAAAAACAGATTTTCCCTCATGAAAGATTTCAGTTTACTTTCTACTACTTGTTATGGAATATTAACAACTGCAGTGGTACAGAGTTTGTCATTAAATGATTAGATGCTCTGTTAACATTCAGATAAGGAAAATAGTTCAGATAATAATAAGTCCTGAAAAAGATGAAGCACAGCCACTCTTAAACATGTTTTTGAAGCAAACTTTAAAGGACCCTATCATCCATTAAATCTGCAGACTCTGGCTGCATATAACATGTTCCACCCTCTATCTGTTAGATGCCGTTTAAAGTCTTACCCTGTTGTGGCCAGGCCTGCACAGACAAAGAGAAAGGGTCCTTATAATTGTAAAGGCCTTGTTTCCAAACCACCGTCATCCACTCGCCTGATGAGAGGACACGCACCACATCCTCATGTCTGCTGCAGCCATACACCCTTTGGTAGAAAACAACCTTTTTTATGCAGCTTCATGATTTTTCGTGATTGGTTGATTTGATTTGCATTTTGAAAAAAATATGTAGATTTATGCATTCAACACATGCTGAAGGAAATCATACGATGTAATGAGATGATGATCAGATGGTGTGAGTGAGTCATAAATAACAAGTCGGTCACGGCACTCAGGTAGCAGCCATTCCATGTGCAGCTCCAGCTGTGACCCCGGGTCAGCCTGGAGGTGCCACAGGCATGAGGAGCGATGTGTTTCAGGGCCACGGAGAGCCATGGGGCTGATGGATGCCACCTTTTGATAACGATAACAATCTGAAAACAAAGAGGTCGAAAAGTGAAATCAATATTTTGAATAATAAAAAAACTTTTCATATGCACTTTATAAAGACTAGGTTATTGCAGAATGATTGATGATAGTATGACATTATACTAGCTGTTGATTAGATAAGATTCAATAAAACCAAAATGGCATACAAGACATACAAATGTGAGACCTGAATTGTATCAATCACAACATTAAACCATTATGAGATTTTAAGATTACCAACAACACACTAAAATTATTATGAAAGTCATCTAAAAAAAACAATCTATTAGCAGGAGGAATGAAAGACATTTCATTTTTTTTTTTTATTTACTCTTGTTTTCTGCAAACTATGATGCCTCGGCTCATATCCAGTACAGGCCTTCTGACTGACGAAGGTATGCAGAGGAGAAGAGCTGTCCTATACACTGCAAAAACGATCTAGAAATGAGTAAAAATGTCTTAAATCAGGTGGATTTACCCTTAATTTGGTCAGGTACATAAGAACATTTGCAAATGGAATTAATATTTTCATTTTAGTCTTAAAATAGAAATAATTAGATAATCTGCACTTGAAATTAGACAATGCAATTGTTTTTTCTTATTTTAAAAGTGGATTTTCTTGTTCCATTGGCAAAGTATCTCCTTTTCCCCCTCAATTCAAGAAAAATGCACCTATTTTAAGAAAATTACTTAGTTAGATTTATATTTTTTGCAGTGTATGACAGTGATTCCCAACTGGGGGTACTGGTATCCCTAGTGATCAACGAGTGCATTGCAAGGGGTACATAAAAATAGATACAGAAAATATCATATTTCTTAGGCAGTTAAATAAATTAGGGCTGGGCTGTATTTTGTTTTTTCAGCATCCAAATGAAAAATTAAACAAGCATTTATCAACCAAGACGTAAATTTTTCTTATATGTTTGAGTTTACCTGCAGCTGTGACACACATTAAAACCAAGCAGAGGAACAGAATGGAAGTAAAGAACAGCCTGGTATCAACAGTTTTTCACACTCATCAGAGCTCATCAAAGCAGCTCAGTCGTATTGATGAAAACAAAATAAAACTAATAAAACTAAGTCAGTCAGTCTGACTTTAATTTCTTTTCTACATTTTATTCCCAGTTGATCACGTTTAAATGTGATTATAAGGGAGTTACTCAGAGTTGCAGTTTTAGAAATACAGGTTTATAATATGATTTTATTTTGTATACATTTTTGATTCCTTGCTAACTTCCAGGCAATATATTTATGTTGTTTTTTATTTGAAATTGAAAGCATAAAATACCTAAAAATTAAAAGCTTAAATTAAAAGATTAACTAAAATAGTGTTTATTTAATAATCAGGTATTGTATGTTGCAGGTCTTCTTCCTGCATAACATCCCAAATTTTGTTCCTTTCTTTTGAGTCGGTCTGAATAAAGGTCTCAAGCAAGTCTCTGATAGTATACTAGAACTCATAGAAATAGAAGGATCTGTAAGGTAGACATTAATGTTTACTTTTTTACTTTGGGACTCTCATTAACTTAAGTTCTAATGACTATCTGCACAACTCTTACTTGAAAATGTTTATTTCATTTTCATCTATTCCCTTTTATTCATCATAAACAAATATGGCTCAGCACAGTGCCTTGTAAAAGTAGCGGTATTAGTTTAAACTGTTAGAGGTTTTATGTAATAGACAAACAAAAAAACCTTTTAGAGTTTGTCTTAACAAGCTTTGCTTGTCTGTCCATCCTCCTTTTGAATGTCTACAAGCACACCACCAGCTGAATTACGTAGTGGCGTTTCTATCTTTTGACACATTCTGGATTTTGACCTGTTCACTTCCCTAGCATATTTCTCAATGTATGGAGCCACATCTATCTTATTTTGAGTTTTGACAAGGTACATCTGTTTTCCAAGGAAAAAATAAACCCATACCATGATGGTACCACCACTCTGTTTCACTGGGGGGAGGCTGTGTTCAGAGGGATTTGTGGATAACGTTAGCATGGAGTCTTTTTTTATGGCTTTTTCTAGTCTCTTTCCCAAAGTAACAACTAATTTTATCCAGTTTGTATATAAATAAACAAACATGTCTCATATACTCATCCACATTAGGAGCAGTTTAAAAGTTCTCATTAAGGCTGAAAGCCAGCTGAATGGCCTCCGGTATCCACAAAAGCCAGCCAGTCAAGGACCCACCATGGAAACAGGGAAATTGATACTACTGTATGTGGTTTCCTAAATTTGCAAAACAACAAACTGAACTTGTTTAACACAAAAAAAATATAATAAATTTTAGGAAGTATGAATACTCTTGATTTGTTCTTAATCATTTTGCTATTAACATATAAAGGGTAATAATTTCTTTAGAAAACAGAAAAAAAACGCCACCTAATGTTATGTGACTAATTACATGACTGCACACCAGAGTTTTAGGACAAAAACATGCCTGCAAAGGAAATCACCAATATTAAATGAAAAACAATGCATGTCCATCACTCATTCCATATTTAGTATAGTGCAAATCATAATAACTATTTTATTAGTTAAAAACTAAAAATTAAAGAACAAATTATGAGGAGGTTAAAAAAAAAAAAAGGAATACCAAATGAAGCTGTCAAAACTTCTAAAGCTTTGGAGTCAATTTCTGTAGGAAACAGAAGAAAAGCAAAGAAAATCACAAATGAAACAACATATAAGACTAATAATAAAAAAAAAATCTTTGCCATGATGTATTTTCCAGGCTTGTGCACAAAACTCACACACTATTTCTCTCACCACTAACAAACAATGTAGAGAGTTGGAATAGGTAGCCATTCAGGTTTGCTGTGTCGTCCCCCTTTGACCCACTGTACCACCTAAAGCCGTCCTTCAGACTTCTGGTGACCTTTTCTACTGTGACTTTCTCAATATGACTGCTGGGTACAGAAAGTACTATCCAAAAGTGAGCGACCACACTCCCCTGCCTGCAGAGACAAAATCAATCATTAAATTACCAAAATGATCAAAGTAATAATAAATACATTAACAGCAATACATAATAAAAGTTCAATTCTTTATTTGAAAAGTCCTCTCCGTCAGATTGACATGATGTCATCATATTCTCTTGTACCAGTAAGTTAATTCCCACAGTGATGTCATTGAAAGAAAATGACCCAACAGATAAACATCCTCACAAATATATAAATAATAATGTGTTTATGTTTAGGCCATATGACACTGATGCAGCTGTCTAGAAAATATCTGCATGATACACTGGACTGCCAACAGTGATAACCTATGGAATACCTATCTTTATGAGAATATCAAAAGAGAAAATTTCTTCATACACTATATTGCCAAAAGTATTTGCTCACCTGCCTTGACTCACATATGAGCTTAAGTGACATCCCGTTCCTAATCCATAGGGTTCAATATGACGTCGGTCCACCCTTTGCAGCTAGAACAGCTTCAACTCTTCTGGGAAGGCTGTCCACAAGGTTTAGGAGTGTGTTTATGGGAATTTTTGACCATTCTTCCAGAAGCGCATTTGTGAGGTCGCACACTGATGTTGGACGAGAAGGCCTGGCTCTCAGTCTCCGCTCTAATTCATCCCAAAGGTGTTCTATCGGGTTGAGGTCAGGACTCTGTGCAGGCCAGTCAAGTTCATCCACACCAGACTCTGTCATCCATGTCTTTATGGACCTTGCTTTGTGCACTGGTGCACAGTCATGTTGGAAGAGGAAGGGGCCAGCTCCAAACTGTTCCCACAAAGTTGGGAGCATGGAATTGTCCAAAATGTCTTGGTATGCTGAAGCATTCAGAGTTCCTTTCACTGGAACTAAGGGGCCAAGCCCAGCTCCTGAAAAACAACCCCACACCATAATCCCCCCTCCACCAAACTTTACACTTGGCACAATGCAGTCAGACAAGTACCGTTCTCCTGGCAACCGCCAAACCCAGACCCGTCCATCAGATTGCCAGATGGAGAAGCGCGATTCGTCACTCCAGAGAACGCGTCTCCACTGCTCTAGAGTCCAGTGGCGGCGTGCTTTACACCACCGCATCCGACGCTTTGCATTGCACTTGGTGATGTATGGCTTGGATGCAGCTGCTCGACCATGGAAACCCATTCCATGAAGCTCTCTGCGCACTGTTCTTGAGCTAATCTGAAGGCCACATGAAGTTTGGAGGTCTGTAGTGATTGACTCTGCAGAAAGTTGGCGACCTCTTCGCACTATGCGCGTCAGCATCCGCTGACCCCGCTCCGTCAGTTTACGTGGCCTACCACTTCGTGGCTGAGTTGCTGTCGTTCCCAAACACTTCCATTTTCTTATAATACAGCTGACAGTTGACTGTGGAATATTTAGGAGCGAGGAAATTTCACGACTGGATTTGTTGCACAGGTGGCATCCTATCACAGTTCCACGCTGGAATTCACTGAGCTCCTGAGAGCGACCCATTCTTTCACAAATGTTTGTAAAAACAGTCTGCATGCCTAGGTGCTTGAATTTATACACCTGTGGCCATGGAAGTGATTGGAACACCTGATTCCAATAATTTGGATGGGTGAGCAAATACTTTTGGCAATATAGTGTATAAACTTTTCTTTCACAATTCAGAATTCCCTGCTTTATTACTCCTGAACACCCCTCATTGACTGATTTGGACATCACCCACTATCACTAGAGGAGGCCGTTTTAGCTGCATGCTTTAAGATGCCCGTTTGCAGAAAAGCAGAGAAATTCAGTCACTTTTTTATCCTACAGTATATGGCTTCCAGAAAGAGAGCACTTACCCAAATGCAAAGACAGTGGTGTAGTTAAAGTATCTAGAAACAGGTGAGTCTCTCATGATCTTCTTTAACTAAAAACAAAAGGAAACTATCAAACACTCAACAGCACAGTGTAGCATTGATTTAATCACTCTTTTGCTTGATTAAATAAAAGTAGAGTAGTTGTATTTTATTATGCATGTGCTTTGACCTGCAAAAGATTCTAGGGAAAGAAGAACTGTACAGTACAACTAATTGGACATATTTCTTATTTTTTATTGGATGTTTTTCTAATAGATAAAATTCTTTCTGCTTAGACATCTGGAATTTAACCAGCCTATAAAGCAAGAAGTATCTTTTGTTTTCTTTCGTTCTTTTTATTTTACAGTTAAAACAGTAAGTACAGGTTCACCTGTAAAATGCTTGTAATAGAAAGTTATTTGCAGGCAAAAAAAAAAAAAAAAAAGGTAGTAAACATTGTAAAATGAATTTAGCAGCCTGCACATCAATAATGACAATGTAAAGAGTGTGATGGAGGAGTGGAGAAAGAATCCACAGTTAACACACATCACAGTGTCATCATAGGCTGATCGCCTTTATGCGATGCCTGTTGATTTGGATCATTCATGCAAAAAGATGCGAGCCTGAATAGTGCTTGTATAGAATAAAACATGGTTTTCAGATGCCTGATATGTCTGTTTAAAAGGAATCTTTTATTGATCCTAATTAATTTTCTATTTTTGTGAGACATTTTGGGCTTTCATGATCTTTAAGCTATAATTATAAGAGTAAAAGGGGCTGGATTGTGACAAAATGTAGTTTATTAAACTTTTTTACGTTTAAATTTTGGGCTGCTTAGTGGAGCAGTGGATAGCGTGGCTGCCTTGCAGCAACAAGGTTCGATTACCGACCCGGGGTCTTTCTGCATGGAGTTTGCATGTTCTCCATGAGCATGCCTGTGTTCTCTCTGGGTACTCCGGCTTCCTCCCACAGTCCAAAAACATGACTGTTGGGTCAATTGGATTCTCTAAATTCTCCTCAGGTGTGAGTGTGTGTGTGAGTGGTTGTTTGTCCTGTTTGTCTCTATGTTGCCCTGCGATGGACTGGTGACCTGTGCAGGCTGGACCCTGCCTCTCACCCATAGACAGCTGGAGATAGGCACCAGCACCCCTTGCAAACCCGCTTGGGATAAATGTGATGCAAAATGGATGGATGGATGTTTAAATTTATTCAGATGTTTTATTTGGCCTCAAAAATCAACATATTTGGATTGCTTCAGTTAAAGTTTCATTTTATTAATTCCTTTAACAAATTTAGAACTTAGGGCTGATATTTTGAAATTAAGAAGAGCGCTCTGTTGCCAGAACTTAAAGGATCGCCAATAATGTATAATTTAGTGTCAATTGTATTCTAAGAAAATAGCTTACTACTCACTGTGTTCTGTATGGATTTTGCTTCAGTTTTAAACATAGGGCTGTTGTGAGAAGACAGATCTGGTGAGAAGGTTCTGTTGAGGATGGTTATGTAAGCTGTGTACTGCTGTTGGACTCGAGGCTCTAATGTCCAAACCCGATATTCTGTCACATATAAAGAGACAAAAACACACATTAAAAATCAGTTTACAGATATAAAGAATATATTCTGGCATATTTTACATAATCTAAAGTGATTTAACTTAAGATTAAACTCTCATCAAAGCTCTATCTTTCAGTGAGAAAATTTCCTCAAACGTTTTCTCAGTAGTTTTCCATATTTATTTTCCCAATGCGTTTTCATCTGAACTTCTGTGTTGCTAATAAGAATACACACTAAAAATAATTCATGTTAGGCTGCAACATGTATTCAACAAATTTTCATCTGTGAGTGAAAAAGTTTTTTGTTGTATGAGGAAAACCAATAATTTAATTATTGCCTTAAAAATGGGAAGGCATGTAATCAACCAGTCGTGATAATCTGGTACAAAGCCATGAAAGGAAAAAATTAAAGGGAGGTCATAACAAAAGCCACCCAGCCACATGAAAATGAATACAAAAAAAAAAATCACTTCAGGAAGAGAAATATTTGACCCTAAACCTTTTACAAAGATTCAGCTGTGCAAGTTCAAATACAGAAACCATTTCTAACGGCATATGAAAGTAGAAACAGCTAGGAAAAACTTTTCAGGTTAAAAAAAAATATACCCACCCATAAAAAGTAATAGTCAATAGGTTGAAGTAAATTAAGTTAGTGCAAAGATCTGCAGTACAGCTAATTTCATAAAAGCTAATTGAATAGTCATTTAATAGAATGAACAAAAACCTCAACAGCTTCTACCTTGATGAGAATAAGATGACAAAGAAAGGATTCAATCTTATTAGGCAGAGACAAGAAAGGATTAAAAAGCCATCAAGAAAGAAATAAGTTATTACTTAATGATTTATTTACTTTATTTTTTAGGCACTATTTACCTGGAAAGGATCTGCAACAACATCTAAAGGATTTTTCACTAAATAATATGCTGTTTTGTGTCCGTACATCTGAACACTTTAGACAGTTCCTAACCAGAATTCTACACGTGTCTCCCTAATAGGATAAAAGTATTTTAATTAAATGATGAAGAGTAAATATGTTACCAAAGACTTTAGAAGACAGAACTACATTGATTAGTTGGATTCCAGAAATTATAAAGCGTCTATCTAGATGACAACGAATAAAGTCCCGCTGGGAAACTCTAAAATAATTGCTTACCCACGAAGTACCAGGCCAGTGTAGCTGCTATGACTATGAGGATGATGATGAGGACGATAAGGGATGCAATCAAGCACTTGCATGTCTGTGTCTTCTTTTTCCGTAGAGCTACATGTTGTGTAGCTGCTCCTACCTGCTAAGAACAAAACAAAAACTGATGCAGCAGAAGATGTATTTTTTCCAACTGATATATACGGCTAGGATAGCTAAAATTAGGAATATCCCTTTGTTTTGGTAGAACATGCAAGACCTGTTTTTACCTGAACTAGTTAGGCAATATTATAAACCTCAGGTAGTGTCCCAGTTAATCTTTGCCATATATACCCCCACTCTAAAGTAGTGGTGGATTTATTCCCTAAGGTAATGTTTACAGAGATAAACAGCTAATCAGAATTCAAGGCCTATAAAAACTTTATAAGCTCAAAGTCACATTTCCTAAAGCCCCCGTTAACAAAAGGTGTGAAATTAGGAAGATTTTGTTCCCGTTTTTTAAAATTGTTATATCTTTCAATTGACATGGGTTTCATTTTAATCATATTATAAAATAGATTCAGCAAAGTCACTCGCTTTTCTAAAAAAATATATATATATATAGTATATATTTTTAAACTACAAGCACTTATCAAACAGGAGAGGAAACGACAGTCTTAGTCTTCTCTGAAGACTTTGGTCAGGTCACCATTACTGAGTAACAATTAATTTTTAGAGAAGTGCAAAACAAAACTCAAATATTTTTCTACGTTTTCCAGGATTCTGTGATCTAAAACCAGGACTGAACTATAGCCCTCAGGCTAAAAAATTATCTGAAGTAAAAACATGTGTTTTACTTTGATTCGGATCCTAACACTATATCAGCAGCATTACCATTTATGTGGATAAGAAGCAGCATAATTCTTGTCTGCTTGTTGATGTGGCCAAGGCTTTTCCTGTTGGTCTGGTGATTATATTTTGCTTTTATAGAACACTCACCATAATGTTGGTTTAAAGATCAAGGTATTTTAAGTTAAGATAAGACTTTTATTTATCTCATAGTGGAGAAATTCACTGTCACATCGGCTCAATAGTCAAATGAAGGTGCCAAATATATATATATATATATATATATATATATATATATATATATATATATATATATATATATATATATATATATATATATATATATATATATATATATATATATATATATATATATATATATATATATATATATATATATATGGAATTATTGCACAGGCCTTGGATAATAAACTTGTATCTGTACTTGTCCTGTTACATTTCAGTGTTCCATGTGATACAGTTTATCATTATTTTCTTTTAGAAAGACTTGAATATTTTGTAGGGATTAACGGAACAGCACTAGACTGCTTTTAGTTTGTTCAGGTTAAAGAAAAATTTTCCTCATGCTCAAGGGTTCCAGATCAGTGCTAGGACCAGTTCTCTTTATACCGTATATGCTCCCAATTGGTAGAATTATTAGACAGCGTAGGATTAACTTCCACTGATACTCAGCTATATCTTTCTATTAATCCAGATGAAGCTAACCCATTACATAGATTACAGGCACGTCTTGAAGGCATAACAACCTGGGTGACTGTTAACCTTCTGCTCCTGAATGCAGACAAAACAGAAGTTATAGTCTTTGTACCAGAGTCTTTAAAAAGAAGCTGATTAGCTAGTAACTACATTTGGATGGATTTAAACTGATTTCAGATAATAAAGTAAAAAATCTTGGTGTTATTTTTAATAAGGACCTGTAATTTAAATAATCCAAAAACAAATAAAAACAAAAGTCAACATCAAAGAACTTAAACCCGGCAGAATGTAGCATAAAGTAAACAAAGAACTCAGAAATGAACAAATAACCCAGAGCAGCTAACTAACAAAACTATAACAAAACAAGGAAGAAACACACCATCATAAAAATAATTCAGAACCTAACCACCAATAAAAAAATCAGAAAATGATTCTTATTCAAAAGAGAAATATAGCAGCAAGATAAGACTTAAAAGTATGGGAGAACTAAAGAGACCAACCTAATAAGAATAAAACATACGAACATTAACAAAACCTGCAGAGAATCCCAAACAGGAGACAAAGTAAAACTGGGATTGCGACAGCCTGATGCAATAGGGTATGCATCGGTATTAACCTTCTTGTTTCACAGTAGCAACATGTCTTTTTAAGGTGTGTATGCACTTAAATTTCTGCTTTTTCTTATTTGCGACTTAGCACAAGTCATTTTGGATTTTAATGGAGATTGTCTGTAAAACACATATTTCAATCTTTGCATTTGTAGCTCAGGCTTTGTGTCTGTGTTTTTTTTTTTCTGCTGGAATAAAACCCTCAATCCCACATTCTTTTGCACCCTTTAACAGGTTTTCTGCCAGGCATGCATAGGTGGATTAATGACCGGGCCTACCGGGCCCAGGCCCAGGGGGCCAGAGGCCCCAAGGGGCCAGGCCAACTTGGCCCCGCGGCCGCGACCCTAGCTGAACTACTTTTGCAAAAATAATAATCTTAGGCCTCAAGGGGCCAGGCCAACTTGGCCCCGCGGCCACGATCCATAGAGGGTAAGAGGCCCCAAGGGGCCATGATCCATAGAGGGTAAGAGGCCCCAAGGGGCCAGGTCAACTTGGCCCCGCGGCCACAATCCATAGAGGGTAATAGGCCCCAGGGGGCCAGGTCAACTTGGCCCCGCGGCCACGATCCATAGAGGGTCAGAGGCCCCAAGGGGCCAGGCCAACTTGGCCCCACGGCCATGACCCACAGAAGGCCAGAGGCCCCAAAGGGCCAGGCCAACTTGGCCCCGCGGCCGCAAGCCACAGAAGGCCAGAGGTCCCAAGGGGCCAGGTCAACTTGGCCCCGCGGCCACGACCCACAGAGGGCCTGAGGTCCTAAGGGGTCAGGCCAACTTGGCCCCGTGGCCATGATCCATAGAGGGTAAGAGGCCCCAAGGGGCCAGGTCAACTTGGCCCCGCGGCCGCAAGCCACAGAAGGCCAGAGGTCCCAAGGGGCCAGGTCAACTTGGCCCCGTGGCCATGATCCATAGAGGGTAAGAGGCCCCAAGGGGCCAGGCCAACTTGGCCCCGCGGCCGCAAGCCACAGAAGGCCAGAGGTCCCAAGGGGCCAGGTCAACTTGGCCCCGCGGCCACGATCCATAGAGGGTCAGAGGCCCCAAGGGGCCAGGCCAACTTGGCCCCACGGCCATGACCCACAGAAGGCCAGAGGCCCCAAAGGGCCAGGCCAACTTGGCCCCGCGGCCGCAAGCCACAGAAGGCCAGAGGTCCCAAGGGGCCAGGTCAACTTGGCCCCGCGGCCACGACCCACAGAGGGCCTGAGGTCCTAAGGGGTCAGGCCAACTTGGCCCCGTGGCCATGATCCATAGAGGGTAAGAGGCCCCAAGGGGCCAGGTCAACTTGGCCCCGCGGCCACAATCCATAGAGGGTAATAGGCCCGAGGGGGCCAGGTCAACTTGGCCCCGCGGCCACGATCCATAGAGGGTCAGAGGCCCCAAGGGGCCAGGCCAACTTGGCCCCACGGCCATGACCCACAGAAGGCCAGAGGCCCCAAAGGGCCAGGCCAACTTGGCCCCGCGGCCGCAAGCCACAGAAGGCCAGAGGTCCCAAGCGGCCAGGTCAACTTGGCCCCGCGGCCACGACCCACAGAGGGCCTGAGGTCCTAAGGGGTCAGGCCAACTTGGCCCCGTGGCCATGATCCATAGAGGGTAAGAGGCCCCAAGGGGTCAGGCCAACATGGCCCCGCGGCCATGATCCATAGACGGTCAGAGGCCCCAAGGGGCCAGGCCAACTTGGCCCCGCGGCCACGATCCATAGACGGTCAGAGGCCCCAAGGGGCCAGGCCAACTTGGCCCCGCGGCCACGATCCATAGACGGTCAGAGGCCCCAAGGGGCCAGGCCAACTTGGCCCCGCGGCCACGATCCATAGAGGGTCAGAGGCCCCAGGGGGCCAGGTCAACTTGGCCCCGCGGCCACGATCCATAGAGGGTCAGAGGCCCCAAGTGTACAATTGTACACAAACTGTACAATTGTACAGACTCTCTAGGTTTTCCACAAGAACAAAAAAAAAAAAAAAATTTTTTTCCCTCAAATAAAAAATACAATCTTTATCCCACTTACTACACTTGTTATTCATGTTGTGGACAACAAATGTGTAAAATGTCAGATCTCTAGTCAAAAGCATTGTGAAACTATGACCCTTTCTGTATGTAAAAGGTCCATTCGGCACAATTGTTCCAAATTTGGACCAAATGTTCCAAACTGATTTATTTTTCATTTTCCATAGGATTGCCTGATTGTAAGGAGGTAAAATATGCTGGTTTTCACTTTTATATGAGCGTGATATTTGATGCGGAAAAAAATTGAGCTTAAAACGTACCTTCCACGGTCTTGGTTCTGTTAAGTTTTCTTTTGAGTTTTCAATTTTACTTTGATCTATGTTTTCTAGTTTTATTGGTTTAATTCCTATTTTGTTGTGTTTTCTAGATATATTTGAGTTCTTAGGTTTTTCTTTGTTGCCCTCTCTTACCTTCTTGTGTGTGTAGCTCCCTTCTAGACTCTCTTCTCACCTGCTCTCAATCAGCTCACTAGTCCAGTCTTTGTTCAGTCTCCCATATATACTCTCCCTGTGCAGTTGCTCAGTGCTGGTTCCTCGTCTTTCCCTGGCTCCTCATGCATGTTTTCCCTGATGTCTCCATTCTTCTGTTTTTTCTGTACTTTTTATGTTGGATGATTTTGCCTCAGTTGCCTGTGAGTACTTTCATTAAATCTTCAAGAACTCACCTCTCTGTCCTCACCTCTGAATTTTGTTCCTAAAAACCTCAACCAAACCCTGACAGGACCAATGTTGGGAAGCAGAAGTGAATTTTATCAGGCATTCAGCCTTAAACTTTTTTACGATGTGCCCCCTTTCTGGCTTGCCCTTAAAACCAGTATAATACAAAATGATGTCCTGATCCTTTAAAAGTAATCCAACAAACAAAACATGGATAACATATTTCAAAATCTGAATCTTCTATATTTGCTTAATTAGTTTAGCTGTAAAGTTAATGTTGCAAAAAAACACAAAAATTCACAAAGAACAGCATGTTTCCTGTATCTTGGCATTAGCATTTTTAACATTGTTTTTTAGTAGGCTTTCAAGCGGTTTCCTTTGTTATTAGTTTAGAAAGTTTTTTTCTTTGTCAAAAAAGAAATGCAAAACTATGTGACATCCTCCAAAATGTAATGAGAATGACTTTTTAAATGACAGTGACATTAAGTACAGCTTTTTTTTTTTATCAATTTTTTTTTACATCTTCAAAGTTATAACGTAAGCTAACTCTGACTCATTAGTTGCCATTTCACATCTACCTTTCTTTCTTACATGTGCAGCTGTTCCATGTAAGGTGAAACTGCCATTTATTCTAGATGTGGAGGAGTTCCCCTTTTAGACGAGGCAGTTTTAAAAGACCTAGAGTAGAGCTTGGCTGAAGAGCACACAACAGGAAAGGGTTTTGAGTACAGGAACCTGAAAGTTATTGCAAAACCAAAGTCATGAGAATACAAACTTTTTCCATCATTCGATTTCAGTTCACACTTAAAACCACAACAAAGGTTTCTGTTTACAGAAACACTACAGGAATGTCAATTCTGAAATTCAGAGAAGTGTAAACCCCTTCTTTAACAGGCATTTCAGCATTACTGACCTCATTGCTCCGAGCAGCAGATGTAACCTCCTGGTCACCTGAAACAGACTCCCTTGAGCCGTGTCCGAGTGCCATTTAATCACTCCAAAACTCTTGATGCTTGAATAGTCATTGCAGTTTCCTTGAGAGACCCCCTCCGCCCCTGGTTGCCAACAATTCTCACTTAAGAAGCTTTTAAGAACTTTCAGTTTTCAACTGAAAATGTCTTTTCAGGGAGAGTTCAACTTCTGCTCTGTTTGCAGGTCCAAAGGTTCCCAGGGCACATTTGGATTTGGACATTGATGTCAGCAGGAATCATGCATCCACAGCTCAGAAGGCTTCATTTTATAATAACACAGTGTCAGCTATGTTTATAATGGGAGCAAACCATCATGTGAATCACAGGTAAGCTGGGAGTATTGCCAAGCAACAGTAACCAGACAACATCTCTACATAGATAAGTCTGTAGGGAACAAAGAGGAGGCAGGATGTTTGAACAGTTTATTCCATTTTCAATACAAATAACACATCAGTAAATTTAGATAATTATCAGCACATACTTTATTTGGATTTTGCTTTTAAACCGTATTATATTATCTGTTCATGTTTTGACTTGATAGCATAAGCAATACAAACATTTCCGAATATTAAAAAAAATATATATAAAAAATCTTTAACAAAATGTACCAGAAATGTACATGTATTTGCTTTCATAATGTCTAAACAACAGTTATGAATAACAAAGGTTATATTGAAGCATCACAGCTCTTAGCAATAATAAATGCGTAAAAACAATATTGCAAACATTTTCAATTTAACATTATAAAGTTGCACCTAAAAACTTCTGCATAATAAAGAAAAGCTACTAAGCAAAAACAGTAATTCCTGCACTTACAGTAAAAGTACATGATCAAAAAATTATCTATGCCTGTAAACCTGTCACAATTTACTTAACAAAACACCTGACTTTATCTTAGAGCATACTTTCCTCGCATTTTAAGGGCTTTTAGGAAGTTGAATAAAGTTCTGTTGAGAAATGCGCATTTATGTGAAAGTTAACAGGATAACTCGACAACCTATTATGATTAATTCTCTGATCATGTACTCATCAATAACATCTGTCCTTCACCAATGCGATCCTTTCTCACTCCTTTAAGCATCAGTCATCCATACTAGTTTGAGTTTCAAAGATCAACTAAGCTTTAAAGATCTGAACTCTAAATAACACATTTTTCTCAACCCTCAACTACCTTCAGATTTAGGAACTATTTATTGCTTACCTGCTTGTTTTTTGCCCCAACCCCTGCAGTAGCATAACCCAATCATTTGTAAATCCTCAACAAGTTTGTCATAGCTTTCTGATCCAGCTTAATTTAAATAATGCTGAACAATAAGGAGCTTCTAAATAAAAATGTTTGATATTATGCAGGAATTGATTCACTCACTTATAAAAAAAATAAGTGTTTTTAAAAGCAGAGCACAGACTTAGGTTTTCATATATGTATTCAGTAAGCTAAGCCCCATCAATCATTGGAAACTATGCAATAAAGATAATTTATCAAATGTTTATTCTAATACTTTTTGCAGTGGTGATAAGGAACAGTAGCTTTGATTACATAGAAATAAGGAGTCGTATAAATGGCGATGGGAATGAAAATGTGTCATGTGAACATGCAAGTCTGATACGCTTTAGCAAGGTTGAAATGTAATTTCAATCCAATCCTGAAGATCAAGTTATTCTGACTAAATCACGCCTGAGTGCCTGAGCACTCCGTGTCAACGTGACATATTTCCACTTTCAGAATATTTCAATTGACATGTTAATGTATATATTTTTATTCTGATTACTTTTGTCCATGAATGTTTCAAGCCAACATTTTTTTTTGTCTGGAGGAATTTTAGTTTGATTGTAACATTTTCTGCATGTAAACATAGCTTGTGTTCTGTTGTCTATCTTTTTTTTTTCTGTATATTTTTTCATAAGCTATATTCTATGTTTTTCTTTTTTTGTTTTTTTAGAAAGAAAACATTAGCAGCAGATTGGTTGTGAATTTGCAAGTATAATATTGAAAAAACAAAAGCACATTTTGAAATTTCAGAGTTCCCCTATATGTCTTGTAAAGGGTTTTGTTCATGTGGCCGCTTAACCCTACGCAGGGGGAGCTGACACCTTCCTGTGGTGAGTAAGCGCAGCCTGTTTATCATTGGCATAAGAGTAGGCAGGTCCCCTGACTGAGCTGCACGTTACCCCACCTTTGAAAGCATTTCCTTGACTTTGATTGACTCTCAGGAGGTATGGTAGTTCTGTGGTGTCACTCAAACTGAGCCCACATTATAGTGGAGTACAACTAAACCTGTGATTTCCTGTTTGTTTTTAGCAAGATGCCTCATACTTGTTAGCAAAATGCCCTTAGTGGCACTAGGTAGAATGATGTGGAGGAAGTTGTCAATTAACCTGCATCAATAAATTATCATAACTTCCAGTGTGGTCTAAACTACGTAAGAGGACGTCCTCTATACAATAATGAAACCAGTGATTAATCGTGCATGCCCTGTTTTGCCATATGTAGATGGAAACTTATGCACAAACACCTATACCTCTGGTTATTTTTGCTGTTTTACCGGCCTGTAACGATCATCCAAAGGCGGATGCTCAGTGCTATCTAACGCTAGAATAATCTACTTAAATATGTCACTGCTATGAAGTGGTGGCATAATTTAATCCAGCTGTGACTGAGATGTTTAATTGGTGTTGAGACAAAGATACTAAAGCAGGGATGTCAAACTGGTTCCAGAACGGGCCGTGTGGCTGCAGGTTTTCTTTCCAACCAAGCAAAGCACATCAGACTCTAGTCATCTTATCAAGTGAGTCCAGTCTTAACATGATGACTTGATTAGATAACTGGAGTCTGTTGTGCTATTGCTTGGTTGGAAAGAAAACCTGCAGCCACATGGCCCTTTCTGGAACCACTTTGACACCCTGTACTAAAGGGCTCACCAAGACAGTGGATGGAAATAGAGGGAACAAGAAGCAAGAATTTTTGGTGGGCTAATCAACCTTCTCCATGCTGTTCTCCAGACTCTCCTCTTCTACCCTGCTAATTCCTAAATCTAGGCTTGGAAACCCAGGACTTCACTGTACATCACTGGGACATTGTTTTAATGTGACAAAAACTGTGGAGATTTTTGTCCTTCAAACAACTTCTGAACCTCTTCCTTCTCTATTTCCCCGCTCAGTGCTCCCTCATCGTGTTCTTCCATCTCTAAAATACTATTTTCCTCTATGCTATCTTGACTGACTTCCTCAAAACTACTCATGCCTGAATCTACACTGTAAAGCCGGTGGAGGTCTTTATTCTTAGCGTTAATAATTGGGATCACCTTGTAAGGTGAAATAACAGAGCTTTTGTCCAAAAAGCCCACACTGCCTACAAACAACTTCTGAACATCGGATTTTGCCTCATTACCTTCGTTGTCCTCTGGTATACACTGATCTCTCTCGTCATCTCCTTCAATAACATGGATACTGTCTGCCTCCATGATCCACTGGCTGTCCTCTTCATAACTGCTCATGCCTGAGTCTGTACTGTGGAGCCTTTGGGGCTCAGCCTGAAGCTTGTAAACATTCTTATAGTCAGAAATACCCAATGCTTCACTGTTAACTCTGCCCATCAGAAGTAGCTTAACCATTTCCTGTTTTTTCTTTGTCACATCACAGTCCTCTTCTTCTTGAACAGAGACATTCATGTAGGAAGCATCAACAGCGCTGCGCCCAAGACTCCCAGGACTAAAAGGAAACCCAGGAGAAGCACTGCAAAAATGAGAATAGCCGGGGTTGGAGAAGCTGGAGCAACTAGATTTTCTGTTGTTGTCTGGCATCTTTTTAACTTCTGGGTTGTAAAGTATGATGTCATCTACAACAGAAAATATTTCAACAGGTACAATATCCACTGATTTCAAGAAGGAATGGTAGGATTCACTGGAGAAGTATGGATTCAACCAAGTCTGTGGAAAAAAAATGGGGGGTGGGTTAGTGAGAGAAGATATAAGAATGTTAAATAATTAGAAAAGATTTTATGACCCTAAATAAAGATAAACGATCAGTTTTGCCCACTGCAGATTTTCCATTTATGTATTTTAAGCTTAATTTTGCAATAGTCTGATTCATGTTTATATGCTTTCTCTGGATAAGTTTGTCTTTGTTTGACTTTTGACATAAGTTTGACTTTGTGAGCTGATTATTAATGTAGCACAAAAAGTGGCTTTTTAAAATTTTTAACTTTTTTATTTAAACATGCAGAATTCAAACAGTCATTAGAAATATGGATGTTTTAATGTTACTGTGGCTATGTCCAATCATCTGACCTAACCCCTAGATCCATCAATCACTGTTTAAAGAGTGGGGACTACATAGATAACTCAGTTAACTTACTGTTCAGACAGACGATCACTACTTTTCGCTGTCAATTAGTCATGTGACTCCACCTCCCCGCACAGTGTCTACACCATCTTTGCTATTAGCCGCCGCTAATAACAAAGATGGGGAGAGCTCTCCACGCAAAGCATTCTGGGATATATCTGCTCGTCTAGTGACCATGGATAATCAGTACTTTTCAAGTTGCATTGTGGGAAATTTTAAGTCCACCACATTTTTAATACATATCTTTTTCCAAATTGTCTCCAATAATCGATCCTTCACAATAAGTTCTCAGATTGTCTGACTTTGAAGCATGGGGAGCAGCATAAGCAGGTCCACCAGGCTGAGCTCTGTACACACATACCAGAGTCACTGCCCCACCCTTTACATTCTCCCCTCAATCTTTTGCCGTCTAATTGATGTAAAGTATAAGAAAATACAATAAACCTTTAAACAATAAGAAAGTTCTAATATATAAAAATAATTTGATTAAAACACACTATTTTTTTAAAAGGTTTTTCAGAACATAAATGATTCTTTGTTAATTTATGCATTATTCATTAAGCCATTCTTTTATATCTCAATTCAATGTTTATTCATTTTTAGTCTTCCAACATTTTTTTCTCAAATCATTTTGCTTACAGTAAACCTTTTAAAACATGTGAGGTATGTTTACCTCTCATGTGACGTTAAAGACTAATGTAATTTTACTGATCACATTTAAAGGAACAATAAATAATAATAATTATCACCCTTACTGTTTCAATAAAATATTTAGTGCAGTTAAATTCAATAGAAGCTAAAGAATCGACAGTAAATTGCTGTTTAAATACTTTTGAAGGATCCAGAGACTCTCTAGTTTTTGTTTAGACTGTTAATGGTTTGCTTCTCTTGCTGGATTCCATGATTGCAGGCGACTCCTCTTTTGCCAAAATGAAATACCTTAGTCCTTAGTCTTTGTTCTAGTTTTATTTTTGTCGCTAATTGTTTTTAGTAATGTTTAGGTTACATTTAGCAGTTACTCTCCATTGCCCCCTAGTGTCAACTTCCTTCCCATTGGTTTTCTTCTAGTTCTTTCTCTGCACACCTGTTCCCACTCAGATCATTACTACAACCTTTGTCATGTTAGGCTCTGGCTCAGTTTATATTTACCCTTCAGTTTGTCTTTGCTGGATCATCATCATAATGTCATGTCTTCATCAGTTCCAGTCACTCACCTCCTGTTAACTTTAATCTGGTTCCCATGTTTCACATGTTTAATTTTGGACTTAAACTTTGGCAGCAATAGATCTACAAGAAATCATCTCTGCCTCTGCATTTTGGGTCCAGCTACAAACCTCTCTGTTTACTGACAGTGCTAGCCTCTTTCATGGCGACCCTGGGAACTCTCATGATATGATGATATGAACCAGGAAATAAACATGGGCAACACACTGAACACCAAAGTAGTTCCTAACCATACAATAAAAAGGAGAAAAACAAACCGCCGTTTAACTGAGCATATTTTTTGATTAATTTTACACTAAATGTATTACCTAATATTTTTGTTCTTATGACCTGCACTGTGGCGCAGTTTGTGGTACTGTTGCCTTGCAGCAAGAAGGTTCTGGCTTCGATTCTCGGCTCAGAGTTCAGCGTTCATGTTCTCCCCATGCATGTATGAGTTCTCTCTGGGCCTTCCAGTCACTAAACATGACTGTTAGGTTGAGGCATCTATAAACTCTCCTTAGGTGTGAACATGTGTGCATGAGTGTTTGATTCTGAATGTCTCTGTAAGTTCCTGTGTTGCCCTGCGAAAGACTGGTGTCGCAAAAAAAAAGAAGAAAAGAAGAAATTGAAAAAATTACATTAAATTGTGCTGATTTTGCAGGATTGGGTAGAGGTGAACCAATAATCTTCTCAAAGTAGACCCTGGAACTAAACAGACAATAAATTTACATGAATGTATAGAAATTTGCCTGTCATGTTTGATCAAGTAAAAGACGTCTTTCTTCTGTTACATACCAGGTGCTTTTCAAAACTGTGAAGCATACGCCAGGAAGCAACAGCAAACCAAACAGTGCCATGCCCAAAATAGACCAGTTCAAAACACCCACATCATTTCCTAAACAACGCAGAACAGTGCAAGTACTGTCAATCCAAATTCAAATGCAACATATTTGTCTTCATTTTCTTGATTTTCATGTTTTTTTTACTTACACAACACAGTCCTATAAAACAGTTTAAAAGCATATCTCTAAAAAGTTACAACTAGCCTACATTTTACCTGATCCTAGCCTGGTTCTTCCCACAAGTGGTACCCAAGTCACAGTGGGGCTCCAGTCACTCCAGGTTCCCTCGAAAGGAGTCTGGGACATCACACGAACACGGGCCTCATATGTCTCCCGTTGCACCAGCCAGTCTTGCACCAGTGTTGCCTCACATTCAAATTTGCACTTAACATTTTTGGTCTGGCGGTCCTTCCAAACAAGAATACAAAAAGGAAGAAAGTTAACAGCCTTTCATACCACATACTAAAAGCTTGTTTGAACTTTGCTATTAATAAAAACCTTACACTCCAAATCTGTTCCTTTTGTTTCCACTGCAGCTGTGAGCTGTAATGTTCAATCATAAAATGTTCTGCAACTTGGGTGAACCAGGACACTTTGGTAAAGTTGACTTCAGGCTTTTGAGGAGGATTCACCCTTACTGTAAGACAATGTCAGATGATCACCAGGTCATGCAAAAAATTGCTTGGGATGACTATTCCGACTTACCATGACACGCGGGCTTGTAATTGAGGATTTCACTTTGATTTGAAGGGGAACAGCTCACATTCAAGAATATGTTACTATATGACTGAAACTAAAAAATAAAAATAAAAAATCAATTTGAGAAAAGAATCCGTGTATCATTCGTTCTTTCTATTTTCAATTGTCAATCAAATAACAAAAAATAAAAAATTGACTGGTCCGTTTTTCCATTTCGTATTCTTGATCTGAGCTTAGAATTGATATATGAAAAACAAATCCTTTTTTCTTTTTTTGTTTAACCATAAAAAAACAAAAAACAAAATAACCAGTCAATTTTTTATTTTTTGTTTTTTGATTGACAATTGAAAATAGAAAGAACGAATGATACACGGATTGAAAAGATTATTGAAAAAATTATCTCAATTGTTAATCTTAAAATCTCCAAAATATTCAGATTTTATTTGTTCACCAAGTGAAACTAAACCTGTATCAAAGTTCCCCTCACTACACACAAAAGGAGATACAGCAAGTACTGTCATATTTTTATCGATCAACGTACGTGGACGAGTTTTATAAATATAAAGAAGGTCTTAGAAGCTGCTTTTCTGGGTTTAACTTCCATTTTCTGGCCATCTGCTACAAACCTCCCACTTCTCTCTCCACCCTCTGTCCTTTCTGATGATTTTTACTGTAGATAAATGCAATAAGTGCCAAACAACTTTATCCACATGTACGAATGAGGATCACCATAGGCTGCAAGGTATACAAAGTTATGTTTTTGTTTTTTTTGTTTTTTAACATCCTGTCTGGCAGTGTGGCAATAAGAATAACTGTCTTGATGCCAAAATGAGCCCAAAAGGTTTTGCTTTCAGAAGTGGAGCAGTATACAAAGAAAACTGGCCGAGTTTAATGACATCCATATAAATACAGACTGTGGAAGAACCACAGTGCTGGTACTATTGGACCTCAGTACAGCATTCGATACTGTTGATCACTCCATCCTGTTAGAACGCCTGGAAAACTGGGTCGGCCTCTCTGGTACAGCTCTCAACTGGTTTAAATCCTACTTAAAGGACAGGGACTTTTTTGTGTCAGTAGGCAACTTTACATCAGAGATGACAAAAATCACATGTGGGGTTCCCCAAGGCTCCATCCTGGGTCCCCTCCTATTCAATATCTACATGCTCCCTCTGGCTCAGTTAATAAAAAACAACAACATCAGCTACCATAACTATGCTGACGACACACAGCTTTACATCACCATGTCACCAGGTGACTATGAACCAATTCAAGCACTGAGGAAATGCTTAGAAGAAATCAATGCCTGGATGTGCCACAATTTTCTTCAACTGAATAAAAACTGAAGTAATACTCTTTGGACCAATAAAGGAGGGATCTAAAGTTAGCACACAGCTTCAGTCGCTTCAGCTAGTAACCACTGATCAGGCCCGAAATCTAGGTGTAGTGCTGGATTCAGACTTAAACCTCCAAAAGCATTTAAAGACAATTAGAAGGTCGGCTTTCTATCACCTGAAGAACATTTCCAGGATTAAAGGACTAATGTCTCAGCATGATCTGGAAAAACTAATCCATGCGTTTATTTTTAGTTGAATTGATTACTGCAACAGTGTTTTCACAGGTCTGCCTAAAAAGTGGATCCGACAGCTGCAGCTGATCCAGAACGCTGCTGCCCGTGTCCTCACTAAGACTAAGAAAGTAGAGCACATCACCCCAGTTCTAAAGTCCTTACACTGGCTCCCTGTATCTCAGAGAATAGACTTTAAAATACTTCTGTTAGTCTATAAATCTCTGAATGGCTTAGCACCTAAATACATCACAGACTTGCTATCAGTGTATCAACCCTCCAGACCACTCAGGTCTTCTGGCTCCAGCCTGCTCTGCATACCTAGAACCAGAACTAAACATGGAGAAGCAGCATTTAGTTCCTATGTTCCACTTATCTGAAACAAACTTCCAGAAAACTGTAAAAGTGCGGAAAGCCTGAGTTCCTTTAAATCAACACTAAAAACACATTTGTTTAGGATTGCCTTCGACTGTTCAAGTTAAACAGTTCAACTAAAACATATTTTCTTTAGTCCAACTGTTTTTAATATTCTTTTTTGTTTCTGCTTTTTTTTATTTTATTTTATTTATTTATTTATTTATTCCTACTTGCTTTGATTCTGTTTTATCTTCATGTAGAGCACTTTGCATTGTCTTTGTACTGAATTGTGCTATTCAAATAAATTTGCCTTGCCTTGCCTTGTCTTACGAAGTTGCTCTGCAGTTCAGGGAGCGAGAGGAAGGTGACGCTTGTTTATTTAAATCAGGGGGAGATGAGTTTATTTCCCAAAATTGTACAGTAATGCTTTTTCATTAAAGGGATGCCTTCTCCATTAGATTTAGATGACTGTGACGAGACGGGTATCCTGGCTGGCTTAGAGGCTGGCAGCTCCCATTCAGTGCCTTATGTTTTTGCCGAGGCAGGCAGAAATAGAATGCCCCAGGTTTCACAGAATCAATAAGGGAATTGGAATCGTTAAAATCTTATCAATTCCCAACCCTAGTCATGTTATCTATGAAATTGCCTCTGGTTAAGCGAAATTTAGAGCTCATAAGTGAGCAGGTAGAGATAAGACAAAAAACAAACAAATTCTGTGAAGGTCCTTATGCAGCTTACCTGCACCTTTAATATTAAAGGTATTGTGGAGGAATTTTGCATATTTTCTTAAAAAACCTGCCCTCTCCACTTAAAAAAATAAAACGCACGTGCGAGAGCATGCACAAGCCCATTTCTCCTAATGCACGTGCTGTTTAAAAGGTGCTGTTCTCATTGCTCATAGAAGCTTGATGTGCCCGATCATTCACCCTAACACCTAAATCTCTTAATCACTACATAGAGCTGGGACTATATACTGTATTAGACTTTGTAGCAAACCGAGTTAACTGACTGTTCAGCCATTTTAAAGAACTGCAGGGAGAAAGGTGAGCTTCGATGACTGTCTGGAACCGTAGCTCACCACACATATAGGTCTGAAAGTGCGCATGCGAAGAAAAAGATAACTGAAGGGACAAGCACATAGGGCGGCCTTACGTAAACATTCACCCGAGTGACTGACAATTAGGAGGACCACTTATTTAGATGATCCACCCGCAAATGAAAGATCCTCCTCCATACCTTTAAGCTGTTCTTATTAAATCTAAAAATGTATTTAAATTTGTGAAGGTATTAAATATATCATAGCATCAATTGTACATTAATTCTTACCAGGTAGGTTCCATCGAAAATCAATGAGCACTTTAATAAGTCTGGTCTGTTGCGGTCATAAGGAAGTAGTTTACAGGAGGCATTTGAACTGAGGAGAAAAGATAGAATCTTGCATTTATTGTTTTATTGTTCTATGTACAATTTGGCTAACATTTCTGCAGTGTTTCTTACCCATAATAAGATTTGTAATGTCGTATATTTTTTGCATATATTGAGCAGATGTGATTCATTTGATCTGTGACAGGTGAGCTTTTCCAAATGCAGGTTATGTTATGACTGTAATCATTGTAGCAAGTGAGACCTGGTAAGAGAAGATAAGATCAGGCAAAAAGAACCCCCATCTTAACTGATTAAAATTTTTTCCAGTGACAGTGGACACTAACCCTTCTGCGGGAGGCTGGGACAACCATCATGTCCAAAGGCGAAAATTGGAAGCAGATGAAGCAGAATGAACGGAAAATAAGGTGTCATTTTATTTTCCATTTGCAGCAACCTTTCTTTTAGAAAACTTCAACCTTCTGGGAGGGCTCAAGTCTTCATCACCTAAATATTTAAGATACAGATATATCGTCATTGATCCAGCATTTTCTCTTTTGAAGACATTTCTTCTTAAATACCACCTTCTTCTGCCTTTTTCTATTTGCTGAAACTTTAATTTTTCATTTATTCTTATAAAAGTTATTGCAATCAGATGGAGTTTTACTTAATTCGTCTTTGCCGTAATTTAAAATAGTCTGTGTTAGATTAATGTTACAAATGCAAATCATTTCATGTAATGTATGCAGGGTATGTGCATTTTAGTAAATTTGTAAGACCATGCGAAACCTCTGTTCAGAACGCTAGTAATCATTTTTACTAAATATTTTTATTTTATTTTAACAATTTGCATTACATTTACACAAATTGTACATAAAACCCTTGATAAGAAACAAATCTTCTGATGTGTCAAAATTTGAATCGGGAGAGTTGCCTACTTGCAAGTACCTAGAAGTAACATGAAAAGTTTCTTCCACGTAAACTACTAGTATTGCAGTCAACCTCTATTATCTCTGCCAAACTCATTATTTTAGGCACCACTGGAGAAAAATGTATGATGACGTCCATTTAACTTCTGCTGTACAAAATTATGAAAAGTTTGGAAATATGGTGTAGTCAAACAAAACCCAAATGGAACTCTAGGACTTTGTAGCATGCGTTATGACTAAAGGATAAACTCCTCGAAGGAGGAGGCTCTAATGCTTTTTAAAACAAGTCTATAATATAGTTTTCTCAAAAATTATTTTGATCATACAGCACTTCAAACATAGTCAATGAAGTTTGTTGATTACTCTTTCTTAAAGATGCTTAGAAAAACAGAAATGTTGTTGCTCTGCCTCTCATGGCTGGTAAACTAGGAAACAACAGTGTTATGCTTTTCTAAAATCCTTTTGTAAATCTATTTCAAACATTGTCAGCTGTTGCAATTTCGGTGCATAACCAAGTTTGCACTGTCACCTGTACTCTGGACAAAATTGGGGATATACAAATCCAACCTGATTAATGAATACAGCTAGTTTCCCCATACAGGAGACAACCAACAACTGTCTTTTCCAGATTAGACTTTTTCCATAAAGTACAGTGGTGTCAAAACTACACACATTTGTTACTTAAGTCGAAGTATAGATACTGCAGTTTAAAAACACTGGTAAAAGTTGAAGTATTAATTTGAATTCTTTACTCAGGTAAAAGTGAAAAACTATGTGCTCCAAAAACTACTTAAAGGAGAAGTTCGGTTTTTAACACTTTTAGCCCATTTTCTGTAGTGTCCAGGATGAAATCGAATGATCGACACCAAAATTTTGACAATTGGTCCTGTCTCTGCTTTTTGGCTCATTTAGAATCCACCCCTGGCTGCTTCAGAATGGCTTCCATAGAGCATGTCCGATAATGTCCTTAAAACAACCTTAAACGTTCTTTTTTTAAAATATGCTACTCACCGGGTCGTCAGCGCTGTTCAATGACGTTCTAAAAAAAGTTTCGTGAAGAAAAAACGTTCCTGTAGTTATTTATTTAGCATTTTGTAAATCCCATTGAGTTCTGTTGGAATAGTCAATATTCCGCTGCCACCGGAAACGGAAATGGGGCCTGTTTACACAGTTGTAGTCTTTTCGCTTCACTCTGTGTACTCCGACGTCGAGGTGCTAACGTCTCTGTTAAACACTTTAAAAAACTCTGAAAATGGAATACGAAAGGTGGATTCTTGATTCTCGACGTCGGAGTACACAGAGTGAAGCGAAAAGACTACAACTGTGTAAACAGGCCCCATTTCCGTTTCCGGTGGCAGGGGAATATTGACTATTCCAACAGAACTCAATGGGATTTACAAAATGCTAAATAAAACACTACAGGAACGTTTTTTCTTCACAAAACTTTTTTTGGAGCGTCATTGAACAGCGCTGACGACACGGTGAGTAGCATATTTAAAAAAAAGAACGTTTAAGGTTGTTTTAAGGACATTATCGGACATGCACTATGAAAGCCGTTCTGAAGCAGCCAGGGGTGGATTCTAAATGAGCCAAAAAGCAGAGACAGGACCAATTGTCAAAATTTTGGTGTCGATCATTCGATTTCATCCCTGACACTACAGAAAATGGGCTAAAAGTGTTAAAAACCGAACTTCTCCTTTAAAGTATAAAGTAACCTTTAACAGAAAACAGCCAGATGCAACTACATGAATTGAGAGCTCAATTTTACAACTATTTTGAAAAATCCTTTGAGATAGGACCAAGTTGGTCTCTTGTTGGTCTCCGTCTCCATCTCCATCTCCCGATACGCTCTCGCCTGTGTCCGACCTTTCAAACATATTAACATCTTTTCTGAATCCAACACTGTAGCATTGGAAAAGACAATTCACCTTTGCAGTTTAAAGAACGCCTGCTTGCTTCTGATGATTTCCTTTAGCTAACCAATGAGTTTTTGCATTATGTGACACATCCAATTACACTAGTTTTCACTAGATGCGGATAGCGCCAATGATCTGCATTGGATGGCACACATGACGTGAAATAAATATTTATAAACATTAAACCGAAGCCAAGAGTAACAAGTAACGTTTGTTTTAAAAATGTAAGCAATAGAAAGTACAGATACTTGTGTGAAAATGTGATTAGTAGAAGTTAGAAGTAAGAAGTAAAATAAGTAATGGAGTAAAGTATAGATACATAAAAAGTGTACTTAAGTACAGTAATGAAGTATTTGGACTTCTTTACTTGACACCTCTGGCCATGACTGCTGGATTCGTTGTCCTAGGGCCAGGGTAGAGGTAGGACTCAGAACCAGACTATCCAACTATCAGCTTATAACAACGAACATATTACATTAAATTACATAAAATAAGTTCCTCTTCAAATATTCCTCCAAATTCTGCTTGTAGGCTTCTCACTCCTACATAATGGTTTAGTTAGCAGCTAAACCACCTTATTGGAGTTTATGAAACTGCTCCAATAAACTACACCTTGACACCTCTAGTAAAGTATTAGATCATTTAAGCAAGCTCTTTCCTTACTTAGATTTTATAACTTTGTATGTTTGCATTACTTCATTTATGAGTTTTTACTTAGTTTATAGGTTTATTAGATTTGGTTGTAATGTTATAACATTAATATGATCAAATTATTTCCCCTGTTCTAAGCAGCCTTGATCTATGTATTGAGGATGTGTTTGTAATGTTTGAGAATTACATTTGAAGCATTTAAAAATATTAGCTTATTTGTACACATAACGTTTTCAGTTCTGAGTTATTAATTATCGCAGTAGCATAATTGCCCCAATGTATGTTTCAACAGCTCTGAAGAATTTTTGGCTGGCAAATGAAGAAAAAGAAAACCTTCTATAAATACTTTCAGGCATATTTTCAGGCATGAATTTAAACTGTCAAAATATTTTTGTACTGATTTTCTAATAGTGATAAGAAATGTGAGCTCTATCATTTCCTGCCTTCCTCCTACCATTTTATACTCCTCAAATAACTTTGGTTATAGACCTGAATATTCAACAAATAAAGTAAAGGTGTAGATTTATAAGTCTTACCTATTTCGGGGGGTAACAATGTCTGATTCACATGCTGAATTGGTGGCAGCTGGCATCCACTGAAAGAGAAATAGTTAGTTTTTTCTCAGTATCCTATTTTAAAACACCTCAGTTTCTTATCTTAAATGACGGAGAATGGTTGATAGACAACACAGTTTATCAGATGAATGAGTCATCTATGTTCCCTTACTGTGTGAGGTCATTATCTTGTGGTGATGGTTTCTAAGACCTTTTTTGGTTATTTCCTTTGAAGGTATTCAGGAAGTGTCTATAATTTTAGATAGACTTCTGTTGATTTGACATCAGCAATGGGTTCATATTTTAGTCGCTGAATTACTTAATTTCACAAAGAATTGTTGGAACATTGTAATAAAGAAATTAAGGTAAGTCTATGGAAAACATGTAAAATAATATGATCAGTCACTTTTGGTTCCATTAGGTCTTGTTATATAAACACAAGTCAGTTTAACCAACATGTGCCTTGCATCTTTTCTGATATTTTTTGCGGGCATTAATTAATTTAGCAGGATGTGGTGCAATAGGCAAAACTGCATCAGAGCTATTTTTATTTTTTCTGTTCCTAACCAGTCAATGCATGAGTTTTGCTCTTGTTTTTAAAACATGGCATTAGCAACCAACCAGACAAGCTTTGGTGAATTTAGGCCCCATGGTGGTTCCGTATTTAGCAATGTTTCCTTGCAGCAACATGCTTGTAGTTTGCATGTTCTCCCCCATGCATATATGTGGGTTCCTACCACAGTCCACAAGCAGGACTGTTAGCTATTCTCCCTAAATTCTCCAAATGAGTAATTTTGTGTGTGTACATGGCTGTTTTTTCTCTTCGCGTCCATATGTTACCCAGTAATAAATTGTTGGCCTGTCAAAACTCAACCCCTCCCCTAGTCCAAAGGTTAAGATTGCAGGCTCCCCGAAAGGATAAGCAAGTTTAGCAGATTGATGGGTGAGCACTCCTACAGTGAAAAATGCTCAGTTAAATGATTATTCATGTAAAAAAAAAAAGAAAAGAAAAGAAAAACTAAAAAAATACAGTTAATAGAGTATCCAGATCACAGATTTAGCTTTTTCCAGACCTCTGTCATTTTCAAAACATGTTTTTATCATGAAGGCATCATTGTTACATCCTTCCAGATCGCAGCTAATCAACCACCCTTTGCTTAGGAAATAATATGATGTAGTCTGACCTAATCTCTCATGGTGGCAGCACCATACCAGATGGTAATGAAGAAAGAGGGGATAGACTATGATGGGGTAGAAATGTACCATCCCTATCTTTGGCAGGCTAAACTTTTACATCAGATGCAGGAAGAGATCCTCTGGTGTACTGTCCTGGTGGGTGATGTGATATTCAGCTTATTCTGCAGGGCTGAATCCCCAACCACCGCCTAGACATGAACCCTTAACTATCAAGAGTCACTCCAAATGAAGCAGCCATTGCTAATGGCAACACAGTGACGCCCTATGTGCCTGGCTGTAGCTCTTTTGCGCTTTGGAATTAATAAATTTCATATGCTTAACTTGTGATTTTCAATCAGTGTGATAAAGATGCAGCACACCAGTTTAACTTGCATTTGGAGGAACATGTTTCCTCCGCCATTACACCCACTGCCAAATACAAGCCAGCCTGCACTTATGCAGATTGCTTGCCAGTGAATTGCACCTTATCCCCAACAAATGTCTTGAATGTGTAAAAAGAAATTTCGTCAATAAAACATTTTCTAATTCTGAGATTAAGTGGGCTTGATTCAGCCTTGCCTGTCAGCTGAATTCTTGCAGTATTTGGAATTTTAGAAATACACACGAAACTTTGAAATTATGACTTATTTAGGAAGTAGATAGAAAAACAAAGAAACTCTCTAAGATAGAGCAGTTGTAAAAATTATAATAATTGCGTCGATGAAATAACTTAGATGAGTTTCAAGGCTTCATCCAAAGCAAATTTTAGATCAAAGCCTAAAAATGTCTGTAGTCTGTATTTCAATTCAATTTCCATCCAATTTATTTATAAAGTGCCAATTTACTACACATGTCATATCAAGGCATGTTACAAAGAGAATTCAGATTAGTTACATTTTTCCATCTTAGGGGGACCAGCAGAATTAGACTCAGCGTGAGTGGCCCTCTGAAGAGGCTGAGTTAGGGTTCAAGGAGACATAAACAGAGATGCAAAAATAACATAGAGGCACTAATTCAAAAAATACTTTCTTTATTACAAAAGACGACAATAATCTATGTCCATAGGTGGCTCTGTCTAGAAAAGAAAGAGTTAAGCAGATGAGCTTTAAACCAGCTTTCATGCCAAAATGGATAAAAGAGAGCACATGCAGTTAGTAAAAGCTAAGCAAACAGCTCAGTCTTGGAAAGAAACAAGGCTAAGCACTTAAAAACCAGCAGCCTAGCTGTTGTTCTCCCTCAAGATAGTGTTACAGTCATTCAGGACCAGACCAGATGAAAGTACTACTGCATGCAGAAAAATACCTACAGTTACAGGCTGATTTAAGAAATACCTCAAAATTGAAGAATAGAGATAAAATGAAGTAGAATTATCAAAGTTGTCCCTATGTTCTGTAGCGGCCTAAACCTAGAGCAGCATAACTATAGAATGTTTAGTCAGGATATTGTAACCTGAGCCACTCTAGCTATAAGCTTTGTCAAAAAGGAAAGTTTTAAGCCTAGTCTTTAAAGTAGACAGATTGTCTGCCTCGTGGACTAAAACTGGTAGTTGGTTCAACAGGAGAGTAGAGTGATAACCAGAGGATATGCCTTCAATTCTTCTTTTAGAAATTCTAGGAACCACAAGTAAACCTGCAGCATAGGCCTCTGTTAGCAAAACAAGCAACAATCAGTTCCCTGTTATAAGATAGAGATTGGCTATTTAAGGTTTTATATGTGACAAGCAGGATTTTTGCTTTTCTTGTAGCAAGAATGATTTATATTTTCAAAGCAGGAGATAAGATATTTAAATTATAATTGCCATATTTAATATATTAAATTGGTGGCATATTTGGATGTATACTTCCCTGGTGCAGTTCAATTGGTCCTAATTCTAGACTCCTGCTTGAATGACGTATTTGCATTTCAAACTCAAAATGTTAAAATGTGTCTTTAGAAGCTGAGGTTTTACTCCTGTAGTTTCAGTGGTGAAAACTAGGACCGGTCTTTATTATAACTTAATCTAGCAAAGATGTTCCCTGGGAGAAACTGCTGAGTTCATTAACTCCATTAAAAAAACGCAACGCCACTAGAAATGTTATCTCTCTGCACAGAGATACCATTTCTAGATCAAAGTGAGCATGTCAGGGCTCCAGTCTGTGTGTTTGTTTTTTTGTGTTTGTCTCCCTTCCTACAACAGGAGGCGCCTGGTTCTGGTCTGCCTCCTCACAAACCTGCTGATGGTTACCTCGTTAACTGAGTGCTCCTAAGCTGCTGATTGCCACTACCTGGACGCCAGAGTGTTTGCCAGTTTTGGGTACTCTAGCCAAGCTGAGTTTTTGCTGAGTAAGACTGAGTTCTTGTCAACCTGAGTTTAAACTTTGTTTTTTTTCTTTGCCTACCGGCAGAAGGTCATCCTGCAAACTGGATCTTTCGGACCTTCACTCCCTTGAGGGATCAACTTAGCCTCAAACCTAGCTGGGGATTCAAACTGGAGGTTTGGATCCAGTTTCCCAGAGAGGGCGTTGAGTTTACACGCTGAGCAAGGGAATCATCTCCACTACGACCCGTTCAAGTTCCGCAAGAAATCTGAGTGGTAGTCAGTTTCACCTACAACCGACCGTGTTCTGGGTAAACCCTGTTCCGCTCTCCACCGAATTAGACTAACACTGGAATACAGCACACAGATTGGAGTCAAAGATTCTACACTTCTCTGGAAACGTAAGTCTACAACCAGATCCTCTTCTCCAAATCCACAAAGGAAATTTCCCACTGAGCCTAAACTAATCGCTGTGTCTTCCCCTCACCTTCCAGTTCCGGCTGAGCAGAGTTCAGAGCAACACTGCAGGGTCAGTGTTACCGGCACCCCCCCCCTCCCCTTTCATACATTTACATGCCTTCCCCACATACACATATCCCACCCTGTTGTTGCCGTTTTGCTTCTGCTGTTGGTTACCCAGGTCACAGTTAACTTCTGCTGCTGTTGTTTAATGCATTTTAACCATTTACCATTTCTAAGCTGAATGTATCAATTGTATGTTATTTTAATTGCACTGTTATCATCATACCTGCTGCTATTCCAACAGACATTAGTGAATGTATTAACATCTGGCCTATCCTGGGCAATCTCAGAAGCCAGTTAAACGGACTCTTAGGGTTTTATTCTTTTTTTTGTTTTCTTTAAACTAGTCATTTAATCTACCTCGTGTTTATTTTCTAATAGCGTGTAGTGTTTGCATAGGTGTTAGATTTTCTGTAATCCTGAATTATTAGAATAAAGACGTCATTTTTTAACTTGTAGTGGTTCTGTGTTTCATATAACGGACAATTAATCACTCAGGCCAGATCCACCCCCTTTGGTAATAGTGCGAATAAACAGAGATAAAAAGGTTATTTACTGATAATTAATAGCTCTGCTGATAATCTAGCCTGGGTCACTTGATTGGTGTGGATAGATGGATTTTAACAGCCGGTCCAGGAACCCTCCAGAGGTGAAACCACAAACCCCTGGTAAGTAAGCAAATTAAAGCTACAATTATTCAACTAAGAACACTAAATTGATTTCACCTCCAGGTGAAAGGTTAAATAATTAACTATAACTCCAGTTCTAGTTAATCATTTATTCATTATCTGCAGGATATTATTTTGCACAACACATGCATGAGCGTATCGGGAGACAGAGACGGAGACCAACAAGACCTCCCTCATCCTTGGCCCTATCTCTAAGAATTTTTTCAAAATTGTTGAAAAATTTAGCTTTCAGTTCATATAGTGGCATCTGGCTGTTTTTTAAAGGTTACTTTATACTTTTATACTTTAAGTAGTTTTTGGAGCACATACCTTTTGACTTTTACTTGAGTAAAGAGGTCAAGTTGATACTTCAACTTTGACCAGAGTGTTTTCAAACTGCAGTATCTATACTTCTACTTAAGTAATAAATGTGTGTAGTTCTGACACCACTGGTCATGTAGCAGCAATGCTATAAAATACGGCTAAAATAGTTACATGATGATGATTCATTAATCTTCTGGCAGGACATAGGGTTAAACTTTATTTACATTATCTCATGTATAACAAAATAAATACATTTATCTTGACCAAAATACAAGAAAATAGTCATCTGGGAAGGTTTCAAAACTGTTTTTATTAAATGTATAAAATACACAGATCCAGAAAAACTTTAAATACTTTAAATAGATTAGGTTTTCTGAATGTTTTGATTGTAAACCAAGCTTATAAACTCAACATGCACAAGGTTAGAAAAACTGCAATTAATAATGGCTATAATTAAGAGCAGCAAGTCAACCATTGTCCTTAAATTGCAGAAAGACTGTGAAAGGTTCTCACAAAACACAAGTAATTAAGGTCAACAACTGAGAAGGATCTGCCATTTGTATCAGCAAAACAATGATAGGCATTTGTCACATACAATCAACATTTTCTAGTTTTGTCCCTCGTATTATATATATATATATATATATATATATATATATATTAGTGCTGTCAATCAATTAAATTTTTTTAATCGCGATTAATCGCATCAATGCCTAAGTTAACTCGGGATTAATCGCATTTTAATCACACATTTTTTTTCTGATTGAAAATCATTTAAATACTCTCGATGACATACAAAAAATACATACAGGCTAGGTTTGTGCCAATGTTCTTTTTTTTTTTAATGAAAACAGGTCACAGACACTGATTTATGCCATAGAAACATATGGCAAGAAGATGGGGAGGCATGTAGCAAAAAATAACAAATATGTAGCCAAAAAAAAGGCCCTGAAAACAGGCTGATGTAAAAGATGGTCTTTACAGTTAATACAGTCTTTTGAACAAAGACAAGCATTTTACCCTACTGCTATAAAATTTAGTAGAGTTAACATTAGATGTCAATTAACCAAGGTAATAATGAACAATTTTCAATCAATACATCAAAATCAATAGACCGACATCACTAGATGGAGGTAGTCTATGCTCTAGAAAGTTACTTTTCAGCCTCTTAACAAAAATGAGAACACACACACACCCACACGCACCCACCCACACACACACACACACACACACACACACACACGATACTGACCTGTGGCGTACACAGACAGCAAGAGTGCCGTAGCAGATTCCATTTCACCTCAGTAATCTGTTTTCTCAGCGTATTTCAGGTTGCTACTAGGCACCAGACACTCAACTTGTTTGTTGGTGGTGGGGCTTAAAGAAAAGGCACTAGCGCCACCCAGTGTATGAGCGTCTTTTTTCCTTGAGGAACTCCGCTCTCGAAGCCTATGGAAAATGCATAGACTGGGGGAAAATAGCCCCGCCTTCCCGCAGGCTGCAGCGGGATGTACTTGGAAAATTGTACCATAAAACCACATAGCGTTAATCTCACGTTAAAAAAATTATCGCCATTAAAATGGCCTCGCATTAACGCGATAATAACGCGATAATTTTGACAGCACTAATATATATATATATATATATATATATATATATATATATATATATATATATATATATATATATATATATATATATATATAAGCAATTACTAATATTTGAGCATGGAGAAAATATGTCCATTAAAACTACCACTTTCCATTTGAACAATGGGTACTGGTTAATTCCTGAGAAAAATTATATTTTATGTCTGACTGTACTAAGGTCCATCATCAGCTCTTTTTCTGCCCACTGGCATGTAGCCATCAGCACAGGACTGCTTCAATGCACTTCCTGAAAGAGCCATCTGCTTAAGTATGTCATTACCGTGAAGAGGTGGCAAAAATGAGCTTAAAGTTGACCCTTCATTGTTTAATGGCTGCTGTGGGAGGGCACTGAGAAGAGGAGTAGGTAACAGGAAGCAAGTTGTTTCAGAAGGCTTATCGTCCTTCTCTGTGCTGTCTTTCTGTCTCTCATTTTCCTCAGCTATCATGCTAACTTCTGACCAGAGCTTGGGGATTTGTTTGTAATCGGAACAAATAGAGTTTTTGGCCAAAATGCTCCCACTGCCTCCAAACAATGTCTTAAAATCTAATTTTGTCTTATTTCCTACCCTGCCTTCCTCCTCTTTTTCCTCCTTGTTGGTTGTCCCCTCATCAGGTCCTTCAGTTATATTTATGCTGTCTGCCTCCATGTTTTCCTTACTGACTTCTTCACAACTGCACATGCCTGAATCTACACTGTGGAGCCTGAGGCGCTCAGCCTCTTGCTTTCCAACCGTCTCATAGTCTGAGACCACCACTGCCTCCTTTTTATGAGCTCCCATAAAAAGTAACTTAACCATTTCCAGATCTTTTTTTGCCAAACATTCACTCTCCTGTTCAATGTTTTGAACAGGCTTGTAAGGGCCATTACTTGCAAAGGACTTTGGATATTCATTTGGCATACAAGGGTAAAGCTCTGAGTAACTGGGGTTGGAAAAGCTGGAGCCGCTGGAATCTGATGTACCGCTTTCTGGCATAAATTTTACATCTGGCTTGCAGAACATCATGGCATCCACAGTGGAGGTTACTTCATGAGAAACGATTTCCACTGAGCTCAAATAAGATTGAACGTATTCACCAGTAAAGTGGGAAATTAACCAAGTCTGTGGAAGAGAAAGACGATAAGGTCAGAGAATTGAAAGACTACTACCCAAGAACATCTGTTTTACGTGTAAGAGTAATATACAGGAACACCTCAACAAATCAGAATTTATTTATTTATTTATTATTTATTTAACCTTTATTTAACCAGGAAATCCCATTGCGATTCAGAATCTCTTTTTCAAGAGAGACCCGGCCAAGGTAGCAGCCAAACCACAGGAAGTTCATACATATTTACTACATATTACACTTTTCATAATAAAATCCAATGACAGGATGACATCTAAAAGTTGCTTTGAAGACAATATTCCTTTATAGGCTGTTTAAGTCATGGTAGTCATGGTTTGTCTTTTTGCATCAGTCTGGCAGCTTCCGTAAGGTCGGAGCAAAGCAAATAGGGCACGTATTTCACAGATTTTCTATGAAGGATGCAGTCAAAACAAAGATGGTTATGTTAAATTTTTAAGCTTATGCAAGTATCCAAGCTTATGCTATATGTAGTGAGAATAATAGAACTTTTATTGGATAGAGATTTTGCATTAAAACAATAATGTCAATAATGTCTCTTAATGAGACTCTCTTTGGTGCTGGATAGGTTAATTTGTTGGCTCTTGTAGTCTGAGCCCCAACTGCAGTCCATCCTGTAAATCTTCAATAAACTCTTGAATGTGGTTTGATTTATGATCCTCCCAAAGCTGTGCACCTTTTTGACCATGCTGAACCTTTTTCTTCCACTTCCACTGACAACAGTGGTGTAGGATGTACGAGTTTGCCCAGCCACTGTTTGTCAGCGGCTTGACATGTTCTTATTACTACTGCATAATCACAATTACATGTTTGTTTTTTTTTCTTTCTGGCCTTTGTGCTGTAAAAGACTAGCTATCACCTTTGTAGAATAATAAATTAAGAATGAAACAGCTTACAGAGTAGACCATATTCATTTCTTTATTTTACTAATGCATATCCTTGAGTAATGCCTTTAATTCCATAAACCAAGGGGCTATTTTTCAACTCACCAGGACTGCAGATTTCTCAGGCTTTGATGTATGACAAACTTCTTTACTGCTAGAGTTCAGATGAACCCAGTCCTATGGAAAAAATACAAGATAGTCTCCATATAACCAGCCTTCAAACCAGTCATCAGTGGCAGATTATTCAAGCCTTTTGTGAGAGATCTCTAGTGTACCTGTGTTTCTGATTCTGACCCGTTCTGCCTCTGGGCTTCTAGCCTGGCTGTCCCTGTTCTGATCTGTTCGCCTGACCTGTCTTCGGACTCCTACCAGATCTCTGCCTGTTTACCGAACCTGGATTTGTTATTGTTACTCAACTCTGTTCTGGATTTCCCTTCGGCAACTCTTAGGATCTCTGATCTCCTGGCTCTGACTACCAAGCACATCTTCGACATTGACTTTGGCTTTGTCCTCTGGATTACCTTGCCTTTCTTGGTCTGCTCGGTTCTGATCTACTGCCTGTCCTCCAACCTCTGAGACATACAGTAAGAGCCTTGGACTCTCTGGGCGCCGCCCGCCGTGATTCTTTGGCAGCCTACCGACTGTAAACATCCCCATCCTCTGGGCTTGGACTGAACTATAAGACCAGGTTAGTGACTCACATGTTCATTATCTTCCTCCTCCAGATAGACATGGTCACTAACCTGTGGTCTCCTCCTGCAGAGGTTCCTGCCTTAGACACTGTTCACTGCAGTTGCATCTTTAATAAACGTTTTGTTAAATCTAAGTCTTTCCGCCTCAAATTCTGGGTCTTTTTGTTCTGAGTCTGACAGCTACCCTTTTCTTCAACCTAATTTCTAATTGGCCTATCAACAGTTTAGCTATTTATGTTTAACAAAAAAGTACAAATTAAGTTAACCTAAAGGGAAAAAGAGAAATCTGTATAATTACCTGGAAAATTTCAGATTTTCTAGGATCTGGTAAGGGTACACCTTTGAAGCTCTTCACCACATAGATCCTGAGACAATAAAACCCAAAGTTTTCTTAAATACAACTGCAAATATATACAAGATAATACTGCAAAGATATAAAATAAAATGACATATTGAAACATGATAAAACTCACAGCTTTTTTTTGCGGATAAAGAGGACTATGCCAGTGAGCAGAAGACCCAGCACTACTAAGGTTAAAGCACCTTCACCCACACTCCACTCTGAAAAAACAAAGAAAAAGAAGAATTCATTAGTTGATGGTCATGGTTAACACCTGTCTACTTCTGTAGAGATTTGTGAAGTTTTTCAAACACAATTTTAGAAAAATATATATAGAACATTCATTGCCTAATACTAATTCTGTTATTAATTCTTATGTTATCCAAACTACCAAAGAGAGTTTAGTGTCCTGCTTCTGTTCAAGTTCTTGATTGATGAACTTGGGTTTCCAAACAAAACCCTTAGACTTGAACATTTGAGATTCAAATATGTATTCAACTTAAAACATTCAACTTTGTTAAGGTTTATCAGTACTTTACCTGGTGTTGGTTTCTTTGTTCCCACTTGTGATACCCATGCAACTGTGGGGCTCCAGTCACTCCAGGTTCCATTTAGATGTTTGTCACAAGCCTCTGCACGAAGACGTGCTTCATAAGTCTCATCTTTTATAAGCAAACTGGGATCCAGTTTTACCTCCCAGGGCGGTTTACATTGAGTGACTTTAGTCTGAACAGAGGGATCCTGAAATATAAAAATAATTTGTAGATGATTAGCGGGTTGCTACAGTTTGTAAGCCACTCAGTAAGACAATTTACCCTTTCCACAAAACAGGCTTTAATTAGGGGCTATCATACTTTGGTTCAGTTTTTCTGTAGACGTTCAACCCTAACAGCTAAAATATCTGGCTAGGTGTTAAAGAAGTCTTGATCTGGTAATGTAGGTGAATAGAGAGTTACATTGGAAGAAACAATGGTTTCACTTGGTGTCATTCTCAAATGCTAGACTGGAATTAAAGTCTGTGGAATTATGAATGTGGTATGGAGTGGCTTAGGATGATGAACCTCCATGTTGTTTGAAAAAACATCCATGCTCAAACTACAGATTATTCTAGTGCAAGCTGACAAAATGACAAAGACTCCTAGGTGTTGAAACATCTTTAGAGAAACTTGCATTAGTTTTAGGCCTGTTCTTCAGTTGCCATGATCTGGAGGATTGAAAATGTACACAGATACAATTTAACCTTACATTATAATAGAATATTTACTTACACTCCATGACATTTTATTTAGTTTCCACTGTAGCTGGTAACGGAATTCTGTAATGGTCGTGTGTGTTATAGCTTGGGTTACCCAGGTCACAGTTGTCTGGTTCACATTAGGCTTTCCTGGCGGATTCACCTTAACTGTAAAATCAGACATCCAGTTGTTTACCACCAACATGATATAAAGAGTCTGGAAAAAGTGTTTAGCCCTTATTGAACTAATGCAGGTACATCAGAGAGCCTCAACTCTTATTTTGAAATGTACTGTGTAAGCTGTAGTTTTCCTAGTCTTATGACTTTCTGTCTGCCTTATTTATAGGAAATGGTGTGTTTTGCCGGTCAGCCAAAAATAGATTTGATCAATGTTTTTGACAGAGGAGGGATCTCTTTAATGCCACAGCACCAGACGCAGCAGGAATTACCATGTTGGTTAAAATAGCTTCTATTTGTAAAGGAGAGTAAAATTCACAGACTATGGAGTTTATGTGAATGGTGCATATAACCTAGGGACTATAAAAATGCTTCTTCTTTGAGCAGGTCGACCCTGAGTTTGGATTTTAAAATAATAATATAAGTTTTTCTCTTTTGGATTAGCAATAAATCATTGTTAGATGATAATATGACTTTTCTCTCCATGGCCATAATTTTAACTAAGGCAGAACATTTCCTAAAATGATTTGTGAACAATCATAGAAAAAAACAAGCTCAATTCTATGTTAGAATATGTCTCCAACATTCCTTAATCTTCAAGAGACAAATGGACTAGAACAACAATATTATCAAGGCTCAGATACAGTATAACAGCTGATGTTTCCCCACAGCATTTAATCCGATGTGGTCTGCAACAGTGTTTACATATTGAAATCCTGGACTAGAAGTTGTTAACACATATGTGTCATTCAATAAGCTAGTCATAAGTTGGATATCATTCTTGTTTTCCAAGACTCAAATAAATGTTACATCTTGGTGATGTTTCAGTTTGTACATATGTGCGGTAAAAAGGCCTTTGATTTAAACGGATGCGGACCACTGTCACCGTGAGGTTGATAATGGTCGTTCTGATGGGTCGTTAACTCCCTCATCAGTGTGGTTTCTGTCACATGCCTCATTGAAATGTGAGTCAGATGAGGATGGTTGAGAGTTGAATCTTCTGGGTTATGTGTATGTATAGATTATGTCACCACCGCCTCTGTTGAGAGAGGGTTTTTCTAGGTTAACGAAGATGGATTCCCTAACCTTTTAAAGCCTGATCCAAGAATAAAACAAAACAGAAAATTACTATTTTTGGTTTGAAGTACCTATTTGGCCTTTTAACAAAATATGTAAAAAGAAAAAACAGAAATACATTTTTAATATTAGTAATTTATTACTATGTGATAATTTAAGATTATTTTTTGTGTAGTCTTCTGCCCTCTGTTATCAGGTATATCTGATTGTGTACAATAGGATTTTCAGCAAAGTTTTTACTTTTTTTTAAATTAAATTATGCAAAAGGTGTCAGACGCAAAACATTTCAGAAACCATATGTATCAAATATGATACATTTGGCATTACAGGGCTAACCCCTCTCTCAAAACCATCAGACTTCTTGAAAACTAGAATTTTCAAGCCTGATCTAATTTGTATTTTTCCAGGGGCTGCACAGTGACTTCCTGTCCAAAACCATGACAAATTGATGTCTATACTTTTCCCTTGGGTGTGTGTGCATAACTGCATGTCTCTTTGGGGAGCGTCCAGGGTGTACCCTGCCATTCAGAGGGTGCCCTTAGAAGACTGGCACCACCCCCACCCTGATCCTGATGGATGAGTGAAAAAATATTTTAACAAGTGGATCATTGTTTATACTCACTATGACACCTTGGCATGTAGGAGATACTTTCTTTTCGTCCAGAAGACAGGCAGCTCAAATTGAGAGAAAAATCACGGTTTCTCTTAAACTGAAAAATGAAGAATTAAAATATATTGACTTCCAGAAAGTACATGTATCCACAGAATCCTAATAAACAACATCTGCGTTGGGTGACCATTTCTATGTGATAGCATTATAAAAAAAAACTATATATATATATATATATATATATATATATATATATATATATATATATATATATATATATATATATATATATATATATATATATATATATATATATATATATATATATATATATATATATATACACAGTGTTGGGAAAGTTCTCTTTCTACGTGAACTAGTTCAAAGTTCAGTTCACACATTTTAAAATGAACTAGTTCAGTTCATAGTTCATAATTCAAAATTTTGAACTAAGTTCACAGTTCCAAAAAATGAACTAGTTCATAGTTCTTTTTTTTTTTCATATATTGCTCAATTACACCATAGCCTCCTGTAGAACCACAGACAGCAATTATTTTATCAGTTATAACACCGAAACTGTGCGTCAGATTTCATCTTCATATCCAGTTTTGAATCCTTATCCAACCAGGGATTACATTAGCATTGAGGGGACAGCATTTCCCCTTTGTTGCTTTAATGCTTTGTTGCTGTCCATTCACTTCACACTAGTAGCAGCTGCAGCTTTCACCCCTACAGTATATTCTCAAAAACATCAGTAAAAATGTGCTGCTTGAATGGTCTTTTTTATGAGTAATTATTAAAAGAAAAATAGGAAAGTAGTCTTTAAGGTGCAAATGTTTTTTAATTTCAATAATTTTTACAATTTGAAATTCCATTTCAGTACATACTAAAAAGGAATACTGGAAAATTATACCAGGCAGGTTTAACAAACAAGTTACATGAATACTAAAACCCTCAAGAACATTTTACTAACACAAACTGAGGGACCAGGCTGAAGTAGGAATTTAAGGTTACTGAAGTGCAGATTTTTTTACTGAAAGCCGGCGGGCAAAGTTTGCAGAGAAATGTAAGATTGTTGCCCTCATCCTCACCGACCACCTGGTTATAAAACTGTTTTAAGTGATCATACTGCTGCTTTGTCGCCTCCACGGTAGCCTCCATGCTGCTTTGGCTTCCACACTGCATTTTGTTTTGATGACGCACGCGGCTGTAAGCTACGACACTGGTAGCTGGTGTTGCCAGATTGGGTGTTTTCCCCGCTACATATTAAGGCCTGTTTACGGTGTGATTTAGCCGGGGTGTCGCCTGGAGGGCTCTATAGAAATCTGGCAACCTATAGAACGAAGTTGAACTGAGAGAGCGTGCCGTTCCCAGACACCAGAATGAACGAGTTCACAATAACGTTCATCAGGCAGTAATACAGTACGTTCAGTTCACGTTCGCCCAAAATATGAACGAGTTCATGAACTTTCGTTCAATGAACGCGTTCAGGCACAACACTGTATATATATATCATTGTTGTGACACAACATTGCTGAAATGATCATAGGCTGACCACTGAATGACTGTGATGCACCAACTCCCTTTGTGACCGGGATCATGCTACTTTAAGGAGAATTACAGCTGGCCAAATTAACAATGCAGGTCCCATGACTGCGGTGTTGCACACTATTTCTGGAAGATACAACAGGCTCAGACTACACAGCTGTGCAGACAAAAACCCAGACGTCATGCTCGAATCAGACGAATCAGCTGGAGAAAAAGTTGTGATGCCAGAAGCACCACCCCCCGACACGTTTAAATGACTCGATCTCTTTTCCACTGGGCACCACACCTGACAGGAGAGACGAAAATTCCATGTGGGATCCTTCTGGAAGTAAGCTAGCCAAAGCTCCCTCCTTTGACCTGCCGTCAGAGCTACTGATCACAGTGTATTGTTGCGCACATCCTCACTTAGAGACGGGTGAGGAAGAGGAAGCCTCCACCTTGTTAACCAGCTGCCGACATCATTAACACTAGAAATACCAGGATTTTTCCACCTACCTAGAACTACCAGGGAGGGGTCAATTGACCCGGCGGCTTTTCCCGAATACACTAATCACTCATTTTGTCATGGTAATGAGGCTGTTATGGGCCGTGTGTGGGGTGAGGGGTGAGGGGGTCACACCTCACAGTGGTAACAGCCAAGACAAACAGGGACAGACAGCTTCTTCCCAGTGTGTTACAGTTTTTCTCCCTTGGTTTGGCTCATTTCTTGAAATTGAGATGTCATTCTCAAAACATGGACAAATCCCAAAACTAATTTGCAGTTCCTCACAACAGAATGGCATTTATCATAACTTTCATCAAATTTCAAATGCTTTTGTACATGTCTCAATCATTTAGTACATCCTTGCAAATGGTTATGTACAAGTAAGAGTAATAAAGATAATTGTGCAAAGAACATTCTATGAGTTGCAAAAAAATGTGCAAAAAAACATACTAGGTCAGTTGAGGCAGACAAGATTAACATGACCAGGAAAGAGTGTTGACAGTTACATTTATGATATAATATATAGATATAGAAGTAAAAGAAATGAGACATATTTCAAGTCACTATTTCCATAGTGTAATCAATAGTTCCATAGTGCAGTGATTGAAAGCTCAAGCCATTGTCTGAATTTTTCCAGAGTCCCTCTTGTCCCTCTTTTCAGTCTCTGACACTGTTGAATTGTTCATAAAATGTAATGTTGTCAAAAGTGATTGGAATCTGTTGTGGGGCATCACATCAGCAACTGGGGAGTTCCGCGTATCTGTCTCCCAATACATACTGGTTCCAGCCATTTGGACCAAGCCCATCCTCAGGTACATGCCCAACATTTTCTGTATTTCCTTGATTGTGGCGTTCACAGATCTTCCATTACTTGGAACGCTGTACTCATTTGTATGGGTTGCCAGAGCTTGAATCATGTCTTCTGAGAAAAACTTTTCAAAGTACTGCAGCGGTGTGTGGAGGACAGTTGCATCATCTGTGAGAGCCGGAGCAGAAAAATCAGTATTGGGACTGATGAAATCCTTTTTTTGCCAGCGATATCTGTCACGGGGCTTGATGTGTTAATTTGATTGGGGCTCAATGTCCAATGTCCTGGCTGTGCAGTCAGTGGGTTCCTGGTTTTCTTTGTCCACACAGGCATCGTTATCTGACTCCTCATCACTCGCATCAGTGTCTTCAAACTCTATGTCCACATCACTCTCTCCATTTTGGACGTGTGAATCTCCACTTACAATTCAACATGCGAAGCAAACTGAGCATGTGCATTGGTTCATGGGCATACCTGAACTAATGGTATTTATTTCCATCACCATCATTAGGGGAATCTTCAAGGTGCCATCACTGCCTGACTGTTGGTCGAAAAACCTGGGAAGCCCACACATCATCGAAACCGTGTTCCGAGGCCGTTTCCAAAACATCATGCATCACCTGCGTTTTGATGACAGAGACACCCGCAGCGAGCGAGTACAGACTGATAGGTTTGCTGCAATTTCAAACATATGGGGATTGTTTGTCACCAACTGCATCACATCCTACATTCCTGGTCAACACATCACCATTGACGAACAACTTTTCCCGTGCAAGACTCGCTGCTGTTTCCTACAGTACATTCCAACTAAACCAGACAAGTTTGGTATCAAGTTTTGGGTGGCGTGTGACTTGAAAACCAAATACGTCTGCAACATCCTCCCATATCTTGGCAAGGACCCCACTCGGCCTCGTGGGGAGAGAGTGTCTGAGAGTGTAGTCATGAGGCTGATGGAACCATTCTTGGACAAGAGCAGAAATGTTACCACAGACAATTTCTGTACATCACTGTCACTTGCAAAACGCCTATTCAGCCGGAACACAACCATCCTCGGCACAGTCAACAGGATTCGCCAAGAAATCCCACCGTCAACTCGACAGATTCACCGCAGTGAATATACCACCCAGGTATTTTCATCCACTGGTGCCACACAGACTGTGTATGCGCCCAAGCGGAAGAAGACTGTGTATGTTCTCAGCAGCATCCACAGCACGATTGAGACAGCGAAAACCACCAAAAAGAAGCCAAACACCATCACACTCTACAACACAACAAAGTGCGGCGTCGATGTCATGGACCAGATGGTGCGGGAATACACTGTCCGCGCAGCAACAAGGCGCTGGCCAGTAGCAGTGTTCTACAACATGATAGACATTGCAGCACTGAATGCCCACGTGCTCTATCAATTATGCACCGGGACAAAGGAAAGACGGGTGGATTTCCTGTTTGAACTGGCAAGAGAGTTGGCTCACTCCCACGTGGGTATGAAAAAGGCCCAAAAGGAGCAATTGCTTCGGCAACAACCCTCCACACCACAACTCGGACAAAGAGCCAAGTGTCAGGCTAAAATCAAATGCAAGGACAATCGTGCAACAGTGTGCTGTGAAAAGTGTTACAAATACACATGTGGGAAATGCCGAAAGGAGCAATGGCAGTGCCAGAATTGTTAGTGACTGCTCAAATGTATTTCACTCATTTGCATTCTTTGTAAATATGCTTTTTTTCTTTGTAATTTCTTTTTCTTCTATTTTTGGCACACAAAAATAAGCTACTTGTGCCACAACCTTCCACACGAAAACTGGGAAAACAGTTGCTTTTGCATTCATTGTAAATATGTTTTGTATTGTATTTTTTTAACAATAAATGTTTAGAGTTTTGATCCCAAATTCTCATTGATCCTGATGATTCACTGCACTCCACTAAAAACTATACTAAAAGCTTGCCTTGGCCAAGCTTTTAGTTGAGCCTGTGTAGCCTCCCCACACAGGCTTAAGCGACTCTGTGACTCAAGTGACAGCTATAAGCTGCTAACAGCCACATTTCCACAACAAAAGGAGTGTCCGCAGGAGGTCCAAAGGGTCAAATGACCCTCTTGTAGGGCTTTTAGGTAAAAAGGACAATTGACCCCTCCGTAGTAGTTCTAGTGTTAAATAGGATTTCCCCTTTGAGGAGCCAGTGTTGCAGTGTGCTGGCCATTGAACCAATGGAGGGATGCCTCCAGAGCAAGCTGTAAATTAAGCCCATCAAATTGTTGTTGTTAGGTTTATTCTTTATACATCATGTGCATTGTTACTTTGTTAGCCAGTTTAGACAGCGTAGAAGGCCTTCCTTCACATGGTGGATGTCACTGTGTGTACGGAGGTCATCTAATCGGGACAGCCTTCGTGTCTTTAAAAATACACAGGATATGGGCACATCTTGGAGCCGGACTGATAAAGGAGAGCTATGTGTAATCCTGGGGTAAAGAGGCAAGATGCGTAAAGTTCAAGGCATGGATGGCGTGTCAGTTTCTGATACGGGCAGTTAAGCATCCACCTGATGCAACACATGGACTCATGAGGTATAAGAAGGAGGAGATGACCTTGGTCGGGGCTCAATCTTTGCTCAATCTTTGCCGGATGCTCGCTGACGTTTTTTAGCTCACAGCTGTGCAAACTCCAAGCCATTTCTCTGTCCTGTAAGGACCTGATCTGGAATAAACGCTGTTACTTTTTTACTCCTGTTTATAGTCCTAATTTATATGGTTTTACCCAGTTTGTGTTAAGAGCCGTTAATATCTTGCTCCCAGGTAAAGAACCAGTAGGGAAGTTCCAAAGTGCAGCTTCCTTCAGGGGGACCTAACTTCCATATTAAACACTTGCATCAGACTGATTCATATCTCCCTGAGAGCCGACCTGGTTCTGGAGACGGACTGACCGCTTTTCCTTGATGGACCCCACCTTTTCCATCCGCCGTAAAACCTTTCCATTATTGCATATGATGCTCAGATAAGTTGCTTAGCTTGGTTGAGCGCAGTTAAGTTCAGGTTTGTGCAAAGCATTTTATTGAACGTTGGGACTTTCAGCTGATGGTTCCTTTAAAAGGATTCTCAACTGAGCTTGCTTTCATGGTGTAAATTAATGTGGTGTGACTGGCTGTGAGTGAGTTTATTTGTTTCTTTCATCTTGTTTTCTTGTTTTACTTTGTCCTAAGGTCGGTGTTATAGAGCAACTGAGAGATTTGTAAGCTTTTTTATTCTCGTGCAACCACATGCTACGGGAAGCCATTTTCTGAGTCTTAAAACCCATTGTCATGAGATCTGTAGTCCACACCTATATTATGTGATAGTTTCATAACCTAAGGTACCCCCATATTTGTAGTCCATCCCTCCCCTTTAGGTCATATGATAAGAGCCACCATTTTGTGAGAATCACAACCTCCAGTGTTTTTCTAGCCTGTTGTTCCACCTCCTTTGACCCCATGGTAGGGGTTGCCGTCTTGTTTTATGACTCTGATCGTAGCAAAGCCCCCCTCTAACTGGGTTAAATGAATGTAGGTTTGCCGACTTGCTACCATTGTTATCTGAATTAATTTACGCTGTTTTTAACTGCACCTATTTTTGCTTATTATATCTGCTGCTATTTTTGTATGGACATTATTGAATGTATTGACATTTGGCCTACATTGGACACCACTTAGAAGCCATTTAAACTGACTCTTAGATCCCTTTTCCCCTCTTTCCAAATTATTAATTTAATCTACCTCATTTTTATTTTCTAGTAGTGTATAGTGTTTACATACAGTAGTAGCAAAATTAGAGGCTGAAAATGTCCCCATTTTCCTTTGTTTGGCCCTTGGCTGTTCCCCTACAGTTCCTTTTTAAACATCAATCTTTGTACTAAAATAGTCTTTCTGTCATGATTTATGGACATTAAGATTTAAAGAGAAGTGCCATCTCCCTGTAATAATAATAAATAACAAAATCAATAAATAATAAAATCAAAATAATAAATAATAATAAATAACAGTAATTAATCGGAGTAAAAAAATATGCACGCCCAGGACAAGCAGGGATTCACTCCAGTGGGAGTTGCAGCGATGGCTGCCATTCGGCTGGGAAGGGCCATTTTGAATGGCTGCTACTGTTGATGTTAGATTTCCTATAATCCTTGATTGTTAGAAATAAAAACATTATTTCAACATGCAACAGTTTGTTTTTATTTTACATCGAGTGGTTTATAACTCAAGCCAGACTCACCCTCCTTTTGGTGACATTTGAATAAAAGAGACAAAATTTCTTTGGTTGGTAATTAATAACTCTACTGATAGCCTAGCCTAAATCAGTAAAGTGTGAGAGGCCAAAATTAGTAAGTGGATTACAGTTATTATTATTCAACTACGAACATTTGGTTAGTTTTACTCTCGATTTTTAATGATCTATCAATAAACTAAAACTCCCGGTTCTACTTAATTGTATATTCATAATCTACAGGTATAATATCACAACATCATAAACCATAAATCTTTCTTTTATTGCCAACTAAACCCTAAAGATGTTGATAAAAAAATTAAGTGCAATAAGGTTCAAGGAAAAATTTGAAATCACTGCATTAAAGTAACCAGATAAATCATAACAGTTCTGTTTGTTATAGTACTTTATGCAGTTTTTTTCTTTTATTCTTTTGCTTTCGCAGATACTGATTTTAACACTCTTATCTATGTTAATTTTGCACATTGTTACAACTGCCAAATAAAAGTCAGACTAAACATGAACAAAGAGAAATAAAATGCATTAGTTTTTGTTTAAAGATCAGGATGAATCACAGAGCATATTTAATCTGTTAATTCAAATCTAAATGATAAATATACAGCAATTCAGAAGCAACATTTAAGACTCTCCACCCCAACCACTTCCAACATTTGAAACCATTTGTCCATATAAGATAGTTCTGTTGTTTACTTACGATATATTTCCTCCTAAAGACCAGCAAGCATCTTCTAAAGGCTGGTTTTGAGACATCAAAAGGCTTTAAGTCACAGGAAGCATTGTAGGAACTTGTTAAAAGACATAAGACTTTCTTTTAATCATCTATTATTTGAAATGAGTTAAAAGCATTTAACATAGAAGTAATAATAAAATAAAACAAGAAAAACTTTTTTGCTGTTCTTACTATCTGAAACTTCTCATTTCTGCATCCAGTGTGCACACATCATCATGTGTTTGATCATAGACCGATGAGCTGTTCCACACGCAGGTAATGGTTTGATTGAAGTCATTGTAACAAGTGAGGTCTGAAAATGAACACTGACATTTTAACGCAGGAAAATAAGACATAATTACGGCTTTCATAAAACATCAATTTAAACCACTTACTCTTAATCGGAAGGCTGGGGCAGCTATCACCTGTAGCGCTGTAGATTTGTAAAAAATGAAGAAGAAGAAGATGAAACAGAAAGGATCCTTGTTTCATTCTCTCCATCTTTATGACTTCTTTTATTTAGGGGATATGAACCACTGAGATTGGGGGATTTCACACATCTGTGACCAGCAGGTTTGAGGGATTGTGCTTAATTTAGGGCATAACTCACAGCATAGCAGTTCTTCTTTCCATCCTGTAGTTGACAAATGGAAAAAGGATAACACATGAGTTTTACTCAGTTGTACTTCAACTAGTCACATCTACACCATAACACCTATATTGCCAAAACAATGAAAGAATCAAAAATGTGGTCATGTCTTAGAAATGTTGTTGTGGTTCCACATTCATATACAGAGAGACCATGTGGTAAAAATGTACTAAAGCAGTTTAAAACCAGCCTTAGCCCTACTAAACGTCACCTAACAGCTGGATTTATACATGCAGATAAAACCTGTTTGAGCTAAAGGTCACATCTGATTGCAATTGGTTGCACTGGATTCTATTTTAGGGTTTAAATCATCATTTTCACCATATCACAATAGAATAAAATACGATACAACAAGGTTGCAAATTACAAGGCAGTGCATCAAAAATGTATAGAGCTACTGCTAGACAGGGTTTTTCTAAAATCAGTGAATAATGAAAAATAAAAACACTTGCCAACCCAGTGGGCAAAAGATGTCAATTAAACTTCAATTTGACATCAAACACCAATATCAAATTGTTATCAAAATTTGGTCAAAAAACGTAAATCAAATTGACATCAGTCCTTTGACATCAATTTGATGTATGTCAAATAATGATTTTATTTATGTCATTTTGACATTATTTCAATGTCAAGCTTTTGTAAAATTTCACTCAAATAATGATATTGATGTTATTTTGACATTGTTTTTAAGTCAAACATTTGAAAATAAAAACATTTAAAAATATGCACAGACGGAAAGATTCTGCAACGTTTTGTATTGCAAACAGACTTGGCTTCATTTGTGAAAGCCCTTTGGGAAACTCCTCCAACTCCCATTGTGAACACTGCACACCATGCCTCACCTATGCAAGGGGGCAGCCCTCAATGGCGCCCCAAGGGAGCAGTGTGGCGGGACGGTACCAGCTCACCCACGACTGCCCGACATGTACTTAGATAAATGTGCAGTCTCAGCCGACCTTCATTAGGATTAAAAAAAAAAAGTTCCTTTGAGAAGGAAATGGCCTAAACAAACCCAATTCTGTTTGAAATACAAGACAGCTGTATTGCAGTTCTGCAGTGTTTCATGCATGGCCTTTAAAATAGCAATTCTGTAAAGTATATTGTCAATAGTTCTAATATTAATCATTTTTGGATCATCTAAACTAAGTTGATGTTCTACAATTGCTATTTTTTCGGGTTGCAAAAAAAAATAAAAATTTTATAAAAAATAAAATAAAATAATTGGTAATTCAAAAATGTTTTTTGAAATATAATGCATTTCCCCACTTTTGGTGAAATGGTGGTCAAATGGTGCATGTATTTTCAGCATGAATAACACAACCAAGATTTTAATAGCTTCATGCTTGTTGCAAGTCCCTTATCCCAAGATGCTTTGTGACATCAATATGACATCAATTCAATACCTTATTCCCAGACATCAAATCAACGTCAATTTGATGTTAAGTTTTTGTGCAGAGATATTGTTTTAAGTTCAAATATGTTTATTAGCAATATGAGGCAGTATTTCGATGCTAGATTGATTTATTGGTTGGACCTTTTTACAACTATAAGCTTCTGTAGAATAATTATCATGGAAGTCAAAATCTTGACCAATCTTCAACATCAAATTGATGTAACGGTGCCCACTGGGAAGTCTGTCTACAAGTGGTAATGAATTGCTGTGGCGACCCTTGAATAAGGATGCAGTCAAAAGGACTCATCGCCTTGGAAGGACTGGCAGATAAAGCCATACAGGTGCACATGTACTAATATGAAGCACAGGTAACTGCTAGGGCTGTTAAACAGTTTAACTTAATAGTTAGAAAAGTTGGCAGAACAGTAAAAACAAGAAGTCCTCAATGTAATCAAAACACAGTTCAACATATGTTGCATTAGGATTTGTGCAATAATCTTAATGCCTGATTTATAACAACAATGTAGGCCATTTCAGTTCTGCAATGTATCTTTATGCTTCCCTTATGTGCGATTATCCAATTGAACACACACGAGCCACATTTACCTGAAGTTAGGCAGTTGAACTAATTTCACTGATATACGATGCATAGGCAAACATCCGCTGAATCTGATTATTTTCAGCTTTAACATCACAATTAGAGCACCTGAAGTGTATCACAAACAGGATGAAAATAAAAGCATGTTTGGGTTTTTAGCAAAGGATTTGTGGTCTGAGGTTATTTCAGTCCAAGGTAAACTGAGCAAAACATCCCCAGCCCCCACTTAAACATCAAAAACATGAGCAACAACCGCAAAAAAATCTTCAATCATTTATGCCGGAGCCAAAAAATAAAAGATTTAAACAGTGGTTTAGTTTAAATACTTTCTACTTTTTTATGTAGGTAATCTAAGAATGCAGAACATTAATGAGACCAAAAAGAAAAATGAGAAAAACTGTGCAGAAATAATCCTATGTAAATTTAATTATTCAGCACATGGTTTGTGCAAATAGATAAATAGATCTATTAAGTAGCTGAACCTTCTGCATTGCTCTAAGTATTTCTGCACAGCACTGCGCATGTTTCATTTCCGCACACAGGGGAAAAACCTGTTCTCACCATCTCTGGTCAATAAAGGTCATAATGTTTTTCTTAAAAAAAGAAAATGTTACATTAATTTGACAGGTGCACATCCTGCTAAAAAAAAACTCTACCCCATTAAACATATTTAATCTGATTAGAAGTTGTAACCTATAAGCTACCAATTAAAGATGCAGATAAATGAGGTGAATATTTTGATATAGGTGTGTTTACCAGAAACAAGTAAACCAATATATCCTGAAAGGAGGTGTATATCTCAGTATAAAGTCACAAGCATTCTTGGAATCATTAAATTAATCACACCTAGCTCTGAGTCAGATTTTCAATTCAGGCTGTTGAACTACAGGTATGCCTCACTTGGGTTTGACTTATCTCAATATCATTTCATAATCAATAACTCTTTGCTATTCTGCAAAAAATATCACAAGTCAAGATGACTGAGAAGCTTTTTACCGGATGCTTGATCTTCAGCATCAGAGCTTTCATTTGATGTTCAACCATGCCCAAACATACATGTCTAAATCATGTTTATGCTCTTGCACATATTAAGTTTTAAAGCCATGAGTATGAGACTTGAAGTAGCTTTGTGCAAGCATTAGTAATATCTGGAAATTTAAAGGAATTACTTCAGTAGACCTTAAAACAAATCAGCAAACAAGCAGAAACATGTAAGAACTGCTTTATCTCCCTTGTCAAGGGACACTATTTCATCAGTTTACCTTATCTTGCTATTGAAAATAATTCATGTTTCTGTTCTATTTGTGGTTTCATCTGACATTTGGACTCCCCCCCTACCTCCTCCCCCATCTGGTTTGTGAGAGAAACCAAAAACGCACACTCTCTTTTCTCATCCTGTTTTTAAAGCATCAGTTATTGAGTTAATTGAGAATTGGTCGCAGTTAATTACTCCCACTGAGGAGGTTATATTTTCATCACTATTGGGTTGTGTGTTTGTTTGTCTGTTTTCAAAATAACAAAACAAAATATATGGAAAGATTTTGCTGAAAAGTTGCATACTGTGACTGGTATCAAATGTTTACATTTCTGTGTTGATCCCGATCACCATCTGGATCCAGGATTTTTTTTTAAAGATTCCATTAATAAAGGTGGAAGTCACAATATGTCGGGGTAAGTGAGCTACTTGGCGGAGGTCTGTGCTCTATGAATGCTTTTCTAGTAGTGACTGAATCCAAATTCTTGATTCAGAAAACAGTCAGAAATAGAAATTGCATTTCATGAGATCCACACACTTATTGTACATTAAGTGGGAAATTGGTGAGTTTGAAATGAAATGACTGAGAATGAATGTCAGATAGCAGAGAGAAGATGTGTCCTATTTCATAGAAGGATTTTGTTCTAGAAAGGGATGGGGGTTGAAATGGGACAGGTTCCTTCAAGAAGAAACTATAACTGGGTTTAAAATATAAAAAATTATTTGATTACCATATTCCTCGATCTGTTTAGTAATAGAGATCAGAATGTAACCATCACATGTCACTGTCACTACAGGAAAAAGAATATGATTTAGGGGAATTCTTACTAGCAGATAAATGAACTCATCATGTTGGTTTATGTTTCATGAATAATTCGTTTTTTTATTCGCTGTAAATGCTGAAGATAACCTTCTGTGTATGTGAAAATATTTGTCTATCTGTCATGATCTTGGAGCTGATGACTGGTCTCATTACTCATTTCAGTCACCTGCTTTTCTCCACTAATTTTTCATTACCACTCATATGATCCACCTGTTTGAGCTTCTAATTAACCAGCCTTCAAACCAGTCATTGGTGCAAGATTATTTGAGCCTGTGGTAAGAGTTCTCTAGTGTTTCCGGAGTGTTTCTGTTTGCCTGATCCTGACTCGTTCTGCCTCTGGACCTGTGAGCCTGCCTTTTCCCGTTCTGATCTGTTTGCATGACCTGTCTTTGGACTCTTGCTGGATTTCTGCCTGCCTATGAAATGCACCTGGAACCGTTTCCTCACATTGTTCTGGATTTCCCTTCGGCACCTCTTTGGATCACTGATCACCTGGCACTAACTCCCAAGCATGTATTCGACACTGGCTTTGGGTTCGCCCTCTGGATTATCCTGTCTTCCTTCGTTTGCTTGGATCTGATCTCGTGTCTCCGACCTCTGAGACATCAGGGTCTGGGACTCTCTGGGCAGCGCCCGCCGTGTCTTGTTGGCAGCGACCGGCTGGAACCAACCTCATCCTCTGGGCTTGGACTGAAGGTTAGTGACTCACATGGTCGTTATCATCCTCTGCCAGATTGACATGGTCACTAATCTGTGTTTTACCCCTGCAGAGTTGGACACAGACGCTGTTGAATGCAGTTCCATTTCTAATAAATATTTTGAGAAACTGTCTTTCCACATAGAAACTGACTCCAATCATTTTGACTGTGACACAATCAGCAAATTGTTGGAATGTATGCTGGATTTCAGCTTGGTG